CAGATACACTAAGGCCACTTTAGCTTATTCAATTCACCTATACCACATGTCTTTGGACTGTGGGGGAAAACGGAGCACCCAGAGGAAACCCATGGCAACACGGGGAGAACATGCAAACTCTACACAAAAATGCTAACTGACCCAACCAGGGCTCAAACCAGTGACCTTCTTGCTGTGAGGCTTTCGTGTTACCTACTGTGCCACCGTAATCCCCCCATTTTTTATTTTAATTTATTTAATATTAGGAATTTTAATTTAGGGAATTTTTTTTATCTTTTAATTTGTTTCATATAATTGGTCAAGAATAGTTTCAAATTATGAAGTGTGTATTAACATTAACACTATTTTTCATATTTATATCTGTTCTTGACTCACTTTATATTGTACTGTTAACTACTGTAAACTAACATTAACATAGAAAATATTGCAGTGCACTTATTGTGTAGCTGCATCTATTTATTTTGTACTTGTATTTTAAGATACAACTATAGTGTGGTATTTCAGCTATAATCAATTTCTGTGAATATAACTCCTTAATATAACCTTAACCCCGAAACCTACCCAAACCTCTAAACTTGCCTCTAACCTTCACTATAATGTCACCTAAATACAGTCCAATACTGCACAAACATAAGCACATTATATCAATAGTTAAATACACCTAATATAAGCTGGGACATTTATTTACTGACTACATTTTGTTGTTGTTGTTGTTGTTGTTGTTGTTGTTGTTTGTTGTTTTTATGACCTTTAACATCATATTGTCCACACATAAAGCAAGTTATCCAGAGTTGGCCTTTATTTTGTATTTGTTATATGTTGTTAAGCAATTAGTCTCAGCTTCTCCGTCAGATGTTTAGCGTAATAAAAACTGGCACATTTCAGCTATGCAGGCAGCACCAGGAAATCAGTATGATGCCAACGCAGACCCTTACAGGAAGTTTGAACCTCACACAGACCTACTGTAGCTTGCTAATAATAAGGAGAGGAAGAGGCCTGGCGGATGTGAGAGGAGGAGAGAAAGAAAGAGAGCTGAGAGTGAGAGAAGAGGCGGTGAATGATATTAGAGTTTGGAGGAGGAAGTGTGTGGAAAGGTTATTGAGAAAATATGACTTCATATCGCTTTGCTTATGCTGTGAAGCACAATCAAAATGACTTGAGCACTTCATTTGATCACATTGGAATATGCGTATGGATTAAAGAAAGATGTATCCGGAATGTTTTGTGTTGATATTTCTACATCACTAACCCTTTACATTTGCCATGGTAAAATACATATTGTCATCAGAGTGTAGTAGATTTGTATCAAAGCCACTGGAATCAGAAAATCAATAACCGTGAAGAAGGATTTTTAACAGATGATTTGATTGACAGTGTGTATTTACAAAGGGGATGTATTGCTTAGCCAAATTTGCCTGCTTTACTAAATTTAACACAGTTTCACACATTTATTGACAGTTTTCACACATACACACAATCTGGCGTGAGACTGAGCACACCCACTTCTCCTGCACTCATTGGATAAGGCTTTTAAATGAGTTTTTCTATATGGATGAATTGGAAACATAAACTCAAGTCTAAATTATTGTGCCATAGAAGGAAGAGCTTAAATTTACGGGTGAACCTTTTTGTAAGAGCTAAAATTCATCCTGCAGTGGCATCACATTATAGAGATTGATTTATTTTCCTTTTTTGTTCTTACTGTACTTTTTAAAACATATTTATTTTATGATTATTGCTCTATTGAAGTTTTATCAAATTAGCAAATGCCACAGGATATGATAATATTCCACTAAAGAAGTAAAAGAAAAATTATACACTCATCGGCCACTTTATTAGGTACACCTTACTTGTAGGAACTGTTAGACCCCCTTTTGCCTTCAGAACTGCCTTAATCCTTTGTGACATAGATTCAACAAGGTATTGAGAATATTCTACTGAGATTTTGGTCCATATTGACATAATAGCATCATTGCTGCAGATTTGTCGGTGGCACATCCATGATGTGAATCTCCCGTTTCACCACATCCCAAAGGTGCTCTATTGGATTGAGATCTCGTGACTGTGGAGGCAATTTGAGTACAGTGAACTCATTGCCATGTTCAAGAAACCTGGATGACATGGTGTGTTATCTTGCTAGAAGTAGCCATTGGAAGATGGTGTACTGTGGTCATAAAGGGATGGACATGGTCAGCTACAATACTAAGGTAGGCTGTGGTGGTGACACAATGATCAGTTGATCCTGATAGGCCCAAAGTGTGCCAAGGAAATATCCCCCGCACCATTATACCACCACCACCAGCCTGAACCGTTGATACAAGGCAGGATGGTTCCATGCTTTCCATGCCAAATTCTCACCCTACCATCTAAATGTCACAGCAGAAATCGAGACTCATCAGACCAGGCACGTTTCTCCAATCTTCTATCGTCCACTTTTTGTAAGCCTGTGCAAATTGTAGCCTCAGTTTCTTGTTCTTCACTGATAGGAGTGGCACCCGGTGTGGTTTTCTGCTGATGTAGCCCATCTGGCTCAAGGTTGGATGTTTTGTGCGTTCAGAGATGCTCTTCTGCATATCTCGGTTGTAACGAGTGAGTATTTAAGTTACTGTTGCCTTTCTGTCTAGCTCAAACCAGTCTGGCCATTCTCCTCTGACCTCTGGCATCAACAAGGCATTTGCGCCCACAGAACTGCCACGCACTGGATATTTTCTCTTTTTCAGACCATTCTCTGTAAATCCTAGAGATGGTTGTGTGTAAATCAGTTTCTAAAATACTCGGACCAGCCTGTCTGACACCAACAACCATGCCACATTCAAATCACCTTTAAATCACCTTTGTTCCCCATTCTGATGCTCGGTTTGAACTGCAGCAGATCGTCTTGACCATGTCTACATGCCTAAATGCATTGAGTTGCTGCCAAGTGATTGTCTGATTAGAAATTTGCTTTAATGAGCAGTTGGACAGGTGTACCCAATAAAGTGGCCGGTGAGTGTATGTTCCATTGCATGCAACATACATCTTTGTTTACTATACCCATTTTCCTACTGTATAGTTAATTTCCCTTTCAAATAGTTTGTAATAAATCTGACACAATCCCTTATCGGTTGCCTGAGGTGCCCTAAATAAGTCTGACGTAGATTATATAGGCCCTCATAAAAACTTCATGTAGCTGTGTCTGAAATCCCTGTCTGCAAACTCAGCAAATATGAAAGAATAAATAGTGAGGAGACAAGCTGTGTATTCAGCCCGAGCCACACATCATGTGACTGCCTGAGCTCTCGTTATATCGCATCAGTTACAATCTCTTCACATCTGAAGCTGCTGGATTTAATGCCTCAGTCCAAGGCTAGTAAAGTATTTTGAAACGTGAGTATGTAGCGAGATCAAGCAGAGGGTTTAAGCTGCTAAGGGTCAGAGATTGAACATAATAATGAAAAATAGGTGTTTCATAATTGTAGTCTGTGACTTTTAAGTCATTTAACTCCAAATCTTCATTGCCTTCATCTGATCTGTAATTTGGCACATGGGCAGATCGCTTTTCTGCTAATGAATTACATGAAAAGGAGTTGAGGGCAACTTGTACATTCATTTTCAAGTCCAGGCTTTACTTTCAAACCGTTTTTGCACATCATTATGATGTGATTTAGGAAACATACTGTAACTGCAGTGTTTGTTGTTACTATTTACAAGTCTTTACCTTTTATGTAGTTTTCTTATTTTAAACCTTGCAGTTTGTAATATTTGTGTTAACAACATTAGAAGTATGAAACATTGAATAAGGAAACTTAAGTCTTTGTATTATGTTTTTTTTTTTTTACCTTCTCCACTGATGTACCTTACCACATAATATTGAAATACAAGCCTTTTTCATGAGGTTACAATCTCTGTTTCATCTTACAGTATATGGCTTCATTAGAATTATTTGTCTATGTCATTGAATTGTGTCCTTGCACACAACTGTACATAGAGTGAATGGTATAAATACCCATTTCTCAGAGTATCTTTGCCCTCGCATGGCACAGGGATTCCAGACCTCCTCTAGATTTAAACTAAACCCTGCAGCTGAGCCATTGGTGAACCACAACGTAGCTAAGCATGCCTCAGCACTGAAGCCTAGCATAGATCGCTCCGGATTTACGTCAGCCAGTGGGGTATGATTCCTCATGAGAGGACTGCCTGCATGTGGCATCTACATCCCCCCACGAACATGCAATATTCATCTCTGACGTTGCCATTTGTGCTGCATCCAGTGTCAAGGAGTGCGTTGCTTGACGCCACAATGTTCAGTACATTTAAAGCATTGTTCATTTTGTAGCTCTCTCAGCAGTAGCAATATTTGCTTTCAATAATGTCAGCGAAACAGTCATTATATCAGTTGCTAGTTTTAATTGAGCTGTGTTCAAAATCACACTCACTGCTTAAGTGGGGGATGGAATTTTTTTCCCATGTGGTCATTCAATAGCAATGGAGGCTGGTTTCCACAAACAGCTATACTACTCAGCATTCCCTTTATTGCATTTTCTAGTGTTTGCTAGCAGATTTAATTGCCTGTAAATGGACACATCTACCATCTTTGCATTCTCATCAAAAACATCAACTTTGCATATCCATCCTTTGCAAGTTTTCTTCACAGTTAGCAATAGGTATTCGCTTAAAGAGAAAGAAAAACACATCCCAAACATTCAAATCTACTCTATATGCATTCATCCTATACAACCACTTGAATCTGCAAACTGCTGAATGTGTTTTTCTGACATTGAACTGATAAAGTTCATCCTATTCCTATTAATAATGAATGAACAATCTCTTAAGTTACATAATTTTAAAGAGCACTCCAGAAATAGATTGAGTTATCATTTTGCTGAAGCATTTTAAGCTTAGTAGTTAAATGTGTTGTGGAACATGGGGGGAAAATCATTGAAATAGAGGATCAAAATATGTTTTAGCTCCTCAGCCTTTAATTCTTAATCTCAAATTTTCTATTATTCCTTTTTTTACAGAAAGAATGGCTCTGCCTAAACTGCCAGACCCAAAGGGCTCTTTCCGGGCAACTTGGGGATATGCCACCTCCACCTTCTCCATCCAAGCTACCTGCCAAACACGAACCCACCCCTCCCTCCTCCCCAGCCTGTGCTACATCATCCACCCCTTCCTCTCCTGCACCCACTGCCATCCCTGCCAAAGGGCTTACACGGATGCCCAGCATAACTCAGGCCCCAGCTGACAAGTCTGAGCCAGTCTCAGCCAAAACCGATGCTAAAGAGGTCAAAAATACAGATGCAGAACAAGGGGTTACAGCAGAGCCTGTACCGAGGAGTACACAGGTAGTACCAGAGGAGAGCAAAGAACAAGCACTTGGCACCTTGACAGAAAACACTGAAGGCGTAACATCTCTACCTGAGCATACAGTTAATGAAGATGCCCCCCCTTTACATAGCGATTCAGACAAGAGAGCAGATGTTAAAGGGCCAGATGTAGAACAGGCTGAAGCTCTACAACAATCTGAAGCTCCTGCAGAGGTACAGAAGGCAGAGAAAAGTGAGCCAGAACAATGCCAAGTTCAAGAGCCAGAATGCACTAACACAGTTGAATTGGAGCCTGGAAGCGGTCAGGAAGCACCTATATTTGATAATACTCAGACCCTACTGGTTAGTGACAATGAAGCTATTCAAGAAAAAGACATAGAGCCACAATCCACTGAGACATTAGAGCCAGCCACACAGATTGAAATTACAGAGTCTAGTGCAAGCTCTCCTATAAGCACTGAACCACACAGTCAGACTACAAATAGACAAGCTGGCGAGTTCACACAACCCTCACATGTAGATTTAGAAGATAGCAACCCTGTAAATGAAATCTGTATTGAGACAGCAACTGCTGATCCTGATCAGAGAAGCATAGGGGATGTGCCAGAGAGGAAACCTGAGGCCTCTGTGCAAATCGAAGCACCAGCAACTGGGCCCAGTGATGATCAACTATCCCATAATATTACTGACCAGGAACAACCAGAAAATAAAACAAATCAACTTAAACCTGTGGAAAATGAGGTTTTAGAGCAGGACATAATAGATAACAAATTGCTGGAGCTATTACCCCAAAATAATTTAAATGTTTGTGACACAGAAGCGCTAATTGCACAAATGCCAGAGACAAAACTCCCATTGGATGAGTCAGAAGTCACTAATACAGGTTCTTGTCTTGTGGGAAATGACATTTCTGTTGATAAAAAAGATGAAAACTCTGAGAAAAATGTAAAAGAAGATGAGACAAATGTAGACAACAGGTCACAGTTAGATGAACCCACATCATCTCTAGTTACTGAGGTCAACTTCACAGAAGAAATATTGGCAAATGGTGCAGCAAATGTTAGCAAACTTAATCCAAATGAGCAATGCACTGAAGAGCTCTTTGAGGAAAAAGTGGATAACCCACTGGAAAAGGAACAGATGAGTGCAGACAAACCAGAGCTGGGAAAATGCATGCCAGATCAAACAGGTGGAGACTTAGAGATCCTTGAGAACACAGACCAGAATGTCACTCTTAAGACTGAGTCTGACAACAAAAAAATAGATTTTAGCTCTGAAAGCACTTTCTATGAACAAGAGATAAATTTTAATAAAAACATAGAAGAGAGCAACAATGGGGATGCATGCCCTCCAGCCCTTCAAGAGGGTGCTCCTGAACCAGAAAAGGAAACTACAGAAACAGAGAAAGTTCATCTGAATAAAGCAGAATCAGATACTGTTATTACAGAGAATGTGACAGAAAGAGTAGTCATTGAAGATGAACTATCATCTGGTAATAATAAAAATGTTACAGAGACAGTAGAACAATTATTGCCAAAAGAGAAGGAAATTCCAGACAGGGTGACAGAAAAGCCTCGAGAAGAGTCTGACGTACTAGGTAGCCTTTCTCATCAAAAAATAGGAGTCTCCTCGTCCAATGTTTTTTGTACAAAGGACGACATACCACCAGTAATTGAGATGCACCATACACAACAAGCTCAAACTCCAGCTATAACTGAGATAGCAGAAAAATTAATAGCAGAAGAGATTAATATTTGCCAGATTCCAGAATCTTTAATGGAAAATGGTTTAGAACAGTCTGTCATGCCAGGGGCTATTAATAGCCAAAATATTGAAGTTCCCTCATCCCCTCCAGTCAGTAAGAATGAAGACATAAAAACACAAATTACATCTGAAGAGATTCAGTCAACACAACAATCCCAAACATTTGTAACTGACCTGGAAATCACCCCAAAATTTAAACTAGAATCTAAAGTTGAATGTGTACCCGATGTAGAATTAGAATCCCCACCCTCTACATTTAGCCAACAGGAAAGAAACAAATCAGAGCATGGGATGTTGGCATCTGAACAAGAGAAACAGGATGATGTTCTACAGCCATTGATAAAGACTAATAAAATTGAATCTGAAGAGGTAACTGTAATAGTAGCTGTAGAGGTATACAGTAGTCAATATTTGAAGTGGATAAAGAAAGTTTTTTTTTAATTATCTTAAGACAAGAGAGGATGTTGTTCAATAGAATTGGGACAACATTGATGAAAAGTTTTGATCCACTTCAATTGTTGGATACTATAGATTTATAGATGTAGAATATTTAGCTTTATTATCTTAATAGCTGCAATATTCAAAAGTTTTAGTCTAGTTCTTTTTCTTATTTATTTATTTCAAGGTATTTTATTGTGCCTTAAAATCATAATTTGTTGAATTTTAATTTGTTTCTCTTGTTTTGCAGAATAAAGAAGCTGCCGCCCCAGTAAAAGAGAATGAGCTACTGAAGGAGCCCAGCGAGAAAGATAAAGAAAGCAGCCCCACAAGTCCTTCAGACCTGGCCAAGCTTGAAAGCACTGTCCTTCCAATACTAGAGGCACAGAAATCACCTAAAGACGAATCAAAATCTGAAACTCCAAAGGTCAAAAGGCGACTGGAGGTTTTGCCAATGTCACCTGAACCCAGTTCAGAAGATGATCTACATGGAGAAACTAAAGAGCAAACAAATAATGCTCCAAAAAAGGAGCGTAAAAAACTTCTTATTCCAACTGATATCCAAGGAGATTCTTTTGAGGACAGTAGTGAAGGAGAACGTTCACCTGAACAAAGAGAAAAGACTATTGGAGATAAAGGAGGAGAAATTGAGAGTCCTATGGATGAAGAGGATTTCATAAGGAAGCAGATCATCGAGATGAGTGCAGATGAGGATGCGTCACCCTCTGATGAGGAAAATCTTGTCAGACGGAAAATCAAAGATCAAGAAAAAAAACAAATGGATAAAAACGCAAGGAAAGATGACAAAGAGAAAAGTGAATCAGGCAAGACAAGACGTCTTCTCAAAAGCACGAGTATCAGTCCAGAAGATGAACCTGAGCGGAAAAGTATTATCTCTGTAACTAAGATTGAAGAATTAGGTAAAGGAGAGCAGCCTTCAGCAGACAGTGGAGCTGGCATACGACATTTCAAAACAATTGAGCTTAACAGTACAGCAACTGTACGCCAGACATCAGATGACGGTGAGCCAGAGAGCCTTACAGACTCTCCTGATGACAGATCAAGAGGCGAAGGCTCTTCCAGTTTGCATGCATCCAGTTTTACCCCTGGAACGTCTCCAACATCTTTGTCTTCTCTTGATGAAGACAGTGACAGCAGCAGCCCAAGTCATGTTCGATCCAGTGGTGAGGGCAAACAGCAGAGGAAAGCAAAACACCGGCAGCCAGGTCAGATGCTTCCTACCATTGAGGATTCATCAGAGGAAGAGGAGTTGCGAGAAGAAGAGGAGCTTCTGAGAGAACAGGAGAAGCAAAAGGGCTCAGGAAAAAAGTCAAAGAAAGACAAAGAAGAGATAAGGGCACAGAGAAGGAGAGAAAGGCCTAAAACTCCTCCAAGTAATCTCTCACCAATTGAGGATGCATCTCCCACAGAAGAACTAAGACAGGAAGCAGAAATGGAGGAAATCCGCAGGTCTTCCTGCTCAGACCTCTCCCCAAGCATGGATTCAGAACCAGAGAGTTTTGAGATACTCCCCGAGAAAATTGTTGCTGTCCAAAAAGTTTATCAGCTACCAACATCAGTCTCGCTGTATTCTCCCACAGATGAGCAACATGCTGATAATCAGTCCAAAGAAAAGGGAAAGCAATCATTAAAAACGGCAGAAGAGGCATATGAAGAGATTATGCTTAAAGCCAAATCTCCTACTAATGAGGGAAAGGAATCTCCACCTGGTAAAGTATCTCTGTATGGGGGCATGCTAATAGAAGATTATGCCTATGAGTCTCTTGTTGATGATGCATCCTGTGAGCAGGAGCCAGAAAAGCTTAATGTGTCAGAGAAACCAAAAAAACCTCTAAGATCTCCTGATGAGGTTTATGAGGACATGATGCAAAGAAAAGAGATTATGATTAAGAAACATGAGCTAAAGCATGATAAGCCAATGGAAGATGTACCTAAACCTGAAACCGAGTTGGTCAATACTGTTTCAAGCAAAGAGACTGTTTCATCAAGCATAACAGGCCAGTCTGGGAAGGATGGAAGGCCTTTATTAGATGCAGAGGCAGCCTATGAAGAACTTATGAAAAAGAAAAAAGCTGTGCTGACTCCAGGAACAAGCCCAACTCAAGCAGGCCCTGATCTCAGTGGCATGGCACAAGGGACAACAGGAGTTCAAGTTGAGAAAACAGATGCAACACCTGTACGGCGAATACTGCCCATACCTGATCTGAGAGTGACACAGTGCTCATCTGGTGAAGAGGAATCCGGTGAAGAAAACTTTGCAGATCAAACACAGGATTCTGAGAAACCTACAGTGTCAACTACAAAGACTGCATCAGAATCAGCTGTGGATGAGGCTGCCCAGAAAACATCAGCCTCAGAGCCAGTTGCAGATGATTTGTCATTACAAAGAGAAGTAATATCAACTGTAATATCAAGTGACTCAAAAGATGCCACAGAAAAAGATGTAGGAAATGAGCAGGCAGGTGTTGTTGACTTGTCCAAGTCATCAACCCCTAGTCAAATTGACACTTTTTCAGCATCAGCCCCTAGTGAAATTTCAGGACAATCTGCCCCTGTAGTTGTAAGTGTATCACCATTGTCCACCGTACCACAATATATAGTATCTTCTGTACCTTGTGTTGTATCAACTGCTCCACCGGTTCCCCCCAAACCTGTAGTACTACGCAGAGCTGCATCTCTGGAAAAAGCAGAAATTCCAGTTCCTCCACCCCTTCCTCCCCCAACACTTCCTAAACCATCTGTGTATCCCAAAAAGACTCCACCACAAGTTCCCCCAAGAACTACTCCAGTTGGTATGCCAACCACAGGAGACAGTGTACCAATAAAACAGCCTCTAGGTCAAGGCTACAAGCCCCATGTTCCCCCTCCTGTACCACCAAAGCCGTCCTCTATCCCTGCAGGCCTAAACTTCAGTCACAAGCAAGGGGAAAGTTTTAAACCTCCCATAGCTCCCAAGCCCATGGCCGGTGCTCAGCCATCCTTAACAGCCCACACTCCCACAAGACCTACAATACTTACTACAAGCAGTGCAGACAACGTCCTTAACTTGAGTCCTTCTGCTGAGAGTAGGACAGGAACCACATCTCCCCTTAAGTCTCCTACATCACCCAGGTTTGGCAAAGTTTTGCGTGACACATATGTTGTTATTACTTTGCCATCTCAGCCCAGTTCACCTACAGAAGGTATCACAACCCAAGCATCAATAAGTCCTAGCCAAGAATCACATCAAAAACTGCCTCCTTCACCACCTCAACCAACTCAGCAGTCACAAACAACTAGAGTACCACTGGCATTCACACGGATAACTGAATCTATTGAAAGTCAAGAAATTTGTGGTCCAGAGAAAGTAGTTTCTAGCATGAGTCATGTCTATGAGGCTATTTCAGCCTCAACACAGCCTCAAACGGTTATTCCAAATGTTGGTGTTCAGGTAGTTACCACCGAAGTCCAAAGAACCACAGTCTCTGTTGTTCATGAAAGAACACCACCTCCACATCCCATGCCAAGAGCCACTGGCATTTCTGTTGTTCAAGAAACTACTAAACCTGAAGCAGTTCAAATACAGAATGGTCATGCCTATCATCCTGGTGAAGTAGTGGATCTCCGAACCCCAAAAATAGATGCAGTGACATCCATGAAAGGTATAGATCTGTCTTCCTCTGAATCAAGGCGACAGTCTCTTGCTGTTGATAGTGGTGGACGTCAACAAAGTGCTGTGCAGTCATCAGTAGTGAACCTAAGTACTGACACTTCTTCAGTTTCAGTGGTTACCGACAACATTACAATCCTCACGTGCACAGCCACTGTAGCTTATGGTAGTGATGCATCTCTGGCTACATCAGTGCCTCTCCAACTTACAACAGCGAAATCGTTTGAGCCTGTGTCTCAAATTATTTACAGACCTGTGGATTGTCAACCAGAGAAACCCATAAATCTCTCTACAACCATGGGTAAAACTCACTCTCTTCCTGTAACAATAGCTCCTACAATGGCAAACAATGGCATTAGTGCAGCTTTACCTCCTAACCTAGAAACAGGCTTATCAGGTGCAGTTGACCTTACCACAGTGAAACCTGCACAGACCATGGTTGCAATGAATGGGTCCACTGCAGCAGTGGTCACTGCTGTAATTGCAGAGGATGATGGAAAACCTGTTGATCTTACAGGTGGAAGAAGAGCAGTTTGCTGTGATGTAGTCTATAAGCTTCCTTTTGCAAGCAGCTGTGCTACTCAGCAGCCCTCAGCTCCGTTACCAGAGGATCGCTTTGGCTACAGAGATGATCATTATCAATATGATCGTTCTCCTTATGGTATGAGAGGTCTCGGTGGCATTAAACCCTCAATGTCTGACACAAATTTGGCAGAGGCTGGTCTTTTTCTATATAAAAGTAAGCATAGCTATGATTACAAGGATGCCACTGAAGGTGCTGTAGACCTGACATCTGGAAAAATGTCTGTCGGAGGTCAGTATGGCATTGAAGATCTTTCTTCTTGTTATCAGTTTGAGTTACCTTTACTTATTCCCAGCTGATTTTTCATATGCATGTTTTTGTTTTGTTTTTTGCATGCCATTTTTCCTCCATTTTGGATGTTTTTGCATGTCATTGCATGCATTTCAAAATTAATTTTCTCATTTTCCATCCTTTGGATGCTGCATGGAAACCTGCATGCTTTTGCCTTTGCACTTTTGTATGTGCTGAACTGTAATCTAACAAAATGAACTTTCAACAGGTGAGGCTGTGGACTATTCAAGCAAAACTACCGGAGTATGCACTGGAATGACAGTTCCACAGTATACACAAGCCAGAATTACTTCAGCAGTTGGAACTAACTATGGGGTGTCTAGTGTCCTGAGATCTTCCAATGGTATTGTTTATTCTTCTGTAGCAGCACCAGTACCTTCTACCTATGCTATAACTACCCAGCCTGGATCTATTTTCAGCACATCCTATAATACTCTATCAGGCATGCATACAAGTGACACTATGCCTTCATTGTCAAATCTGCAAAATCAACCTCTCACTAGATCCCATAGTTTTCTTTCAACTATTGCTTTAACCACAGCAGAAGGGCAAATTGACCTACCCTTAAATCTGGAGACTAGTGCTTCAAGGGCTGGCCTGTCCTCAACTCTCTCTGGTGAGGTTTCTACAGTCACCACAGTGACAGGACTAGATACATACACAAATGCTTCACTTGATGCAATTGCAGCATCTTTAGAAGCTCTGTCTTCACCCATGGTTCCAGGAGATGGACAGTACCAAATGGAGCGTGAGTTTCTTGAGCTTGAGAAAATAAAGCAGCAGCGCTTAGCTGAAGAACTTGAGTGGGAGAGGCAGGAGATACAGCGTTTCCGTGAGCAGGAGCAACTTCTTGTGCAGAAGGAGCTGGAAGAACTTCAGGCCATGAAACAGCAAATATTGTGTCAGCAAGAAGAAGAGAGACAAGCCCACTTAATGATGCAAAAGGAAACTTATGCTCAGCAACAGGAACAGTTAGAGCAGATCCAAAGACTCCAGGAACAGCTGAGGCAACAGTTGGAGGAACAGAAGTTCAGGCAAATGTATCCAGGTGAAGTCTTGCCAGAGGCTCTTGTTGTTACAGGAGAAAGAAAGATGGACAGTGGCTGCCAGACTGATGAAGAGGATAATACCGAAAAGGCCTACACTGCAGGTAGAAAGAAGAAAACCACAAAGAAAAGTGTTGATAGCTGTGTACAGACAGATGATGAAGACCAGGATGAGTGGGAAGTTCCTGCTCGAGGCAGGCGCAGTAGACCACGTGGTGGTAAAAATGGCATGGCTGAGAGAGGCGCTGTTTCAGTTCAAGCCCTAACTGAGATATCTGTACAAACAGACTCTGGAACACTAAGGGGGCACTCTGTGCAGGTAGATGCCAGAGTAGATTATCCTGACTCTGACAGAACATCATCTCCAAAGAGACGCCCCTTTCCACTTGATATTGGCCAATCCCCTCTCCTCAAAGCAGATGCATCCACTCTTCAGGTTGCTCCAGGTCCCCCAAAATCCCCAAAAGTACTGTACTCTCCAATTTCCCCTTGTGTATCCCCTAGTAAATCCCTTGAGTATTTGTCCTATGAGAAACCCCTTGGTGAAACAAGCCCACAGAGAATACGTTCTGTCACAGATTTATCCAAAGGTCCACCAACAAGTCCTAGGGCTCCCAAGGTCATACAGAGGTCAATGTCTGACCCCAAACCCATGAGTCCAACTGCAGAAGAGAGGGCAGCAGCAAATTTCCAGTATTCTGAGAGTTACTCTGTGAGTATACTTGATATTGTACATTTTAAATGTTGGAAAATTGCTTTTCGTGGATTAAATCTTTTTCAATCTCTCTCAACACTTTTAAATAGTTTGGTATTTATTTTTTGTATATATTCATACTGTTGTTTAGCTCTTATTGATTTTGAGTAATTGTAGTACTGCCATATTATTTTCTTGTTTTTTAATGTTGCTCTAGGCCTCAGTTGCATTGGCATACTCACTGTCTTTTATTCTTTTCTGTGCTTGTTGAATGCCCTATAAAGGCATTGCAGCAGCACCGTGTTTGTTTTTTATCCTCAATGCATGCCTGTCATGAGTAAACAAAATCCTCAAGAGACTTATTTTTGGCCATGCAGTTTTATTTTTAATCAAAGTGGAGAGCTTGGGTGTTGGTTTGTCATTTTTAAAGGGCTTCTATGAATTCACAATTAAAGCTTTTAATGTACTACTTTTGTTCTTAATTGCTGATCAGTTGTTTTATTTGACATGCATAGTGTTTTGTAACACTGATGTTGCTCTTTTACTTGTCCTTTAAGGCAAAGGGATCTCCAAGTGGAACTCCATCTGGCACCCAAAAGAAAGTTAAGAGAACCCTCCCTAACCCACCTTCAGAGGAAGAAGCAGCAAATGCTGGTCAAGCAGCCTACAGCACTGGTTCAGCTCGTCGCCGTCTTTGCCGGAGCACTAACATGGCACGAGCAAAAATCCTACAGGACATAGACCGTGAGCTAGATCTGGTTGAAAGGGAGTCTTCCAAACTGCGTAAAAAGCAAGCTGAACTGGATGAGGAAGAAAAGGAGATTGATGCCAAGCTGCGATACCTGGAGATGGGCATTAACCGACGAAAGGATGCATTGCTCAAAGAAAGGGAGAAAAGGGAAAGGGCCTATCTGCAGAGTGTTGCAGAAGACCGTGACTACATGTCTGACAGTGAGGTGAGTAACATTCGTGAGACTAGAGGTGGAGAGGATATCGGTGGACATGGGCTTGAGAGACCACGAACTGCACCCCAGTCAGAACTTGATGAGTTTGTTCCTCCACAGACCAAGCATGACCAGTATGGAAAATATTCCCAGTACCAGTACTCTCAGTACCAGCAGTCCCTGTACCAGCCTCAGTCACCATACCAATCCCAGTCTATCTACTCTTCTGTTCCGTCTCTGACTGCCTCACAACAACAGAGCTACCACCAAATGCTCTTGCTCCAGCAGAAAGCCAGACAACAAGCTGCTCTCCTCTCTGAATTAGATTCTACAAAAATTGCATCCAGCTATGACACCTCATCTTACTTGGGAGGAAAATACAGCAACCACCTTGACTTGCATAGCTTAGAAGACCGTGCTGGCAGCATGGCAGTCAGTCCAATGTCCAATGTATCTGCTGACTCCTTCTATTCAGACTTAGATCAACATCAAACACCAAGAAGCTACATGCTTTTAGAAGATGCAGCAGAACTTGCCAAAAGCACTGGTAGCCTTTCATCCACCAGCTATGGCATTGCTGAAAGGGAACTGGCCAAAGCAGAGCGTCTTCTGAGACATGCTGCTGCAGATGTCAGTTCAGACTACCTGGGCAGCTCTTCCAGGCTCCATTCCTATGGTAAGGCCCAAGATGAAGAGGACCCAATGGAAGAGCCATTTGAACTGAAGCTTTTAAAACAGCAACTGAAACAGGAGTTCAGGAGAAGCACAGGGGGCACTGAAAGCTTAGAGCAGCTTGCTGGACTTTCACATCACTATACCCCCAGCACTGGGGTGTCTAGTGGAGGCTACAGGGCCTATCCTAAAACCGAGAAGTATAGTATTAGTAGACTGACCTTAGAGAAGCAGGCTGCCAAGCAACTCCCAACATCTATGCTTTACCAGAAACACAAAAACACCAGCAACATTGGCAAGTACTCCTCAATGCAGGATAGCAGGGGTCTAGAAACAGACTATAGTAGTTATCTTGGGTCCAGTAGCTCTTCTCCCAGGTCAAGCAGACTTATGCAGGATGAGATCACCTTTGGGTTACGGAAAAATATTGCCGAACAACAGAAATACCTGGGTTCCACACTTGGGGCCAATTTGGCAGGTTCACTCAATCTGGGTCAAAGCCTGAATCTGAGCCCAGGAATGAGGTCATCTTTAGGAGAAGACTCTTCTTATCCTAGTGGAAGCAGGTCTCGTCCTTCTTCTAGACCCTCATCCGTATATGGGCTTGACTTGTCCATTAAACGAGACCTCTCAAGTTCCTCTCTAAGGCTCAAAGCAGAAGGTGAAGCCTCTTCTGAGACCTCAGCATTCCAGACTCCCTCGGGCAGGTCAAAACCTACAAGCCTCCCTATTGTACAAAGTGGGCGTGGACGTATTCCTATCGTGGCACAGAATTCAGAGGAAGAGAGCCCACTGAGTCCAGTTGGTCAGCCAATGGGTATGGCACGGGCATCTGCAGGTCCACTCCCACCCATATCTGCAGACTCTCGTGATCAGTTTGGATCATGCATGTCTCTACAAGAATCTCAACAGCAACATCTCAGAGAAGATCCTTCAAGAGGACGTGGCTATGTGCTAATGGATGATCTGCAGGGCACCATGTCTGATAGTGAAGGTAATTTGTTTGTCCACAAACTGTCCGCTTGGAGAGATTCTACATACACAGTCTCAGTTTTTTACTTATCTGTGTTTCATCTTGCAAGTGCTTCTTCTAGTCTATATGAAGGCATTGGTTTTCTGAATACATTTGCTTTCTGTCTTGTCTGAGCTTGCTTATTCTTTGCTTAAAAATGGAAGCAATCACAATGTCACAGTTGTCTTCATAATCAAACTTCTACCGTATAGTATCATAGTTAATATGTTTGCATGGGATTTCTTCACAGGCTATCCTTCTGTTTCTTTGTGTATATGTCTAGTGCATGCTTTCATTTTCTCCGTGTGTTGTCTGAATGGGATTAAAAAAGAAAATTTGCACTTACACTAGTGGGACCTATTATAAATCTCTCTTGTCAGTAGCACAGAAATAGCCTTAAAAATTCTAGTTAAGGTGCTTGTAAAGAGTAGATCTGCATGTGTTTCTGATTAGTTATCTATTTAGTTATCTTAAAGTGCCTTCTAGCAAAGTCTCAGCATTATTCATCAAGTCGTAATGTTACTACACTGCTCTGTTTAAGGTCCGGCATTCATTCTTAAATTTATTAAATTAAGTTTCAGTTTCCTTCTGTAGAAATGTTTTTATTTCCTATTAATAGCATGTCATAGCCCATATAAAGGTCTATCTCTTAATGATTGATGATATTTTTCATGCATGTTGCTAGAATAGCGTGAGTAATTATTAACATGCCAGTTTGTGTTTGCATATTTGATGTTCAATTAATAAATAGAACAAGTGGTTTGCATGCCTTTTTCTGTCTGTTTTAAATAAACTCTTTCATTTTCCTGCACGTTTCATCTGCTTTCTTTTCATTCAAGAACTAATAAATGCCTTCAAATAGAAAGTGCTTTTTCTTAGCTTTGTTTACATTTTTTTTTGGTGTGTTAATCTGTCATGAAAATATGACGGTAGATATTTTAAGATTGACAACATAGTTGCTTATATTATTGCATGCCCCTTCATGCAAAGTGCATGAAGTTCCATTAACTGCACTACATGTTACAAAATATGAATGTTGTAATTTTTAGGCAGTTTAGAGTTCAAGAATGACATCACCACTAAATCTGGAGCTCAAACCCAAAACATTTAACATGTATTTTTTGTTCATTTATGTTTAAAGTAACCCCATACATTTAACAGCATATGATGTGTTGTTCATCATATGTTCCATCTGGAAGTAAATGCATTTGCCTTGGTTGCAGCACTAAGTGAATCCCTGGTGGGTTTGAGCAGAGACGATCCAGGAAACTCACATGAGAATGTCACAAACGGTAGAGTATAACCACCTTAGACTCCTGCACGTCTCTCCCGTCTCCCCCACACCTCCGCTACCATGACCACCCGCCTGCCAATCACCCATGAGCTGTTAGGCAACCAAATCGACCGCAAATTCATCTCCATAACAACATGTTGCAAGAACTATGATGAATTTGCACACTAATGTAATGCTGTGTTAGTGAATGCAGCTCTTGCATCTGTGATTAAATTGGAATTTCACACTCCTTTCTTTCTAAAAATAACCATCATTTGCTTATTTTAAGCTCCTACTATTTCAGCCTATTTGGTGGACAAATCATCATTCGTATAAAGCTAGTAATAGTTTTGCATATCAAGTCAATCTATTCTGAAGTACTGACTTCCTGATGAATCTGATTGCACTCATAAAGCTTGAAATATTACCACAAATACGTAGAACTCTTCGTTACAACAAAAGTAGCAGGAATAATAATACATCTTTCATATCATTTTACATCTCAATGTCAGGTCTGTAAATACTAAAATTGTCTGTTAAATGTTCATTCCTCTTGATGATGACATGAGGCCGATTATGCACTAATCCATAATGAAATACATCTGAAGTTGCCTTTGAGTCTTCTCAAGAAATGAATGATATATAACCTTTCTACATTGTCCAAAAAACTCTACACCAATGTAAAGTTGTATACCAAGATATTTCCAATGCCTGTTTGTCATTAATCCCTTTTTTATTTATAAAAAGATCTTTAGATGTTTGGAGATCTGTATAGTACCCTTGTAGTAAAGAATTCTGGCCCAGAGCACAGCGGGCATTCATCCGGCACTGGCTTACAATATGTGGGCCAAACATGGCCTGGGTTTGGCAAAAGTGGCACCGTCTTTAAGGTGGCACATAAGCTTTGGGCCAGATGTAAAATATAGTATTTGGCCCCAATGTTAAAAATTGATATGTGGGATATCATGACCCAAGAAAAAAATTCTATCAATCTGGTCTATTTAAGAAAAAGCACGCCCATAGTGTGCCTAAAGGGTTTATCAATTTCATTGCAATCATGGCACACCAACCTATCTGGCCCAGTTATAAGTTATAATTAACTTCGGTGTGACTTGACCCAGATATAGTCCATGTTTGGCCCTTGTCTGGAAGCCAGACTTGGTCCAGTCATGCCCTGTAATTCACTGTGGCATGGGGGCCACGCAAAACTTGATTGTATGGGCCAAAGCTGGGCCAGAGAAATTTTGTATAAAATCAAATTGTTTTAGTTTTTTTTTTTTTTTTTGTAAAAAAAAAATAAAGAATTGAGTCCTCAGGGTTTTTTAAGGTTTGCATGTGAGAATAACTGCTCCACTTTGTATAACCATTTCCTTTTCTGTCCCAGATGGCTCTGTATTGTTTGAATATAAGACATACGTACCTTAGCTGTTTCTAGTACCTGATATTACCAGAGGGCCCTTAGGGGTTTGTTTTCACAGACTGGCAAGCAAGACTTTAACGTTTTAATTTCCATCTGTTTTTCTGAAGCGTACCACCTGCGTCGAGAAGAAACCGACTGGTTTGATAAACCGAGAGACGGACGCGCTGAAAACGGACAAGGGATTGACAGAAGACAGGTATTTGAAATGAAAATCAGCAAAATGCCATTGCAAAAGTGTTTGTAAAGAAATATTTGTCTGAATGTGCTTATCTTATGCATCTTTAGGGAAAGTTTCACTACCCGTTTCCTCATGCAAGAATAAAACTACTGAGGGATCCCAAAGATCGTAGTGTATCAGGTAAGACATGCAACTTGTCAAATACTCTATGCTACTTGGCATTCTGACACGCTCCAACAATGCAGACAGCTGCCTATGGTAAAAGAGGATCTGTTCGCCTACCAGGCAAGCATGGAGAAATGCCCGAGGCTTATGTCTATGCAAACATTAGTTTCGCCATGCTGAGATTGCATTGGCACAGTTTTATTTTAGGCCTACTACTAAACAACACATTATCCCTTCTCCAATTCCCCTTTAGCGTCCTCTTGTGGCGCTTCATTTTGCCAGATCATTGCACACGAAATGTCAACAGACACAAACCCGCTGAGCAAACAGCACATCAGCGGTCTTGCCCCCCTTCTTATGCTTTGGTATGTCACGTAGGTGGGGCTGATTCCCTTCTGTCTGTTGTGTCACTGTTCCTTTAAGCATTAGAACAGGGCAGACATTACGCAGCAATGTGGCAGATTGGCATCCCTCCAGTTTCATCAGTCATCAAAGCTCAAAATGGCGTGTAATGCACAAATTGGATTATTCTCGTAATTAGAAACTGATGAAGAAACAAGCGCCTTAAAAAGACAATGAATTAAGGCTATATCAAGTAAACTGCGCTGTGACTGGTGGATTTGTTGCACTGTAATTTAGGTAATTAGTCTGATGGAAGGGTATGTGTATCATGATTCTAAATTAGACAATGTATATTATTAAACTCATAGAAAAGGTTAGTCAATTTTTAAGTAATTTTCGAATCGGCAGTGTGGGCCTGGAAAAGATTTGCAAATGCCAATATTTAAAGGGATAGCTCACTCAAAACTAAAAATTCGAGAGTCCCCCCCAGTACTTGTTTCAAACTTTTTTGAGTTTCTTTCTTCTATTGAACACAAAATAATATATTTAGAAAAAAGCTGTAAATCTGTTACTATTGACTTTAATAGTATTTGTTTTTTTCTTCTGTAGAAGTCAGGTTTTTAGGCTTTCTTTACAGTATTTTCTTTTCTTAAAAACTCAAAAAAGTTTGGGACCACCTGAGGATGAGTAAATATTGAATAAATCTTAGTAAACTATCCTTTTAAAGGCAACTGGAGTTTCTGTGTTGATTGTAGTGTCCGGTTATCAGATGTTTTGCTTCAGTGAATATTAATAATTTCCTCATTAATGCTTAGGAATCATATAGAAAAAATATTGTAGGAGAATGATCAGTTTTTGACAAGGCTAAGTCATCATTGACAATTATTCTTTTATCCAGTCAGCTCAAGACAAAACCCCTATAAATAGTCAAACACATCATACCTTCGTTTTCTTTTGACTTCAGCATCCCTCCACCACCCCAACTCCACACTATTAAACGCGATACCTACTTAAATCTGGGGGAGGGGGGAGCATTCTGGTGCCAGGCTCAGACTCTATCTTTCTCACTCCTGATAAGGGGAATAACACAAGTTCTTTTCCGTGCTCAGAGCCTTCTCCCCAAACAGCACACCTAACACGCATATTCTATTCAGTCAAATATCTGTGTGTGTGTGAACTCGTGAAACAAAAATGTTAAGTACTTAAGCTGGTTAAAACATCAATTGTTGAAATCACTGATGGTTAGAGTAATTGAACCCTTTAATCCAAAATCTTTCAGTTATTGTGTTTGGCAATTAAAGGAAATTTACAGATCAAACAAATATAGCAAATTGAACTAAATAATCCCACTTTTCATGCTTGTTCACCCTCTGTGCAGGTATTTGACCTCCTTATTTTAATACAATTTCTCCACAGGAAATGGACTGGGAATTAGAGTGGTTGGAGGGAAAGAGGTCCCGGGAAGCAATGGAGACATCGGTGCATATGTGGCCAAAGTATTACCTGGAGGAGCAGCAGAACAGACGGGGAAGATTGTGGAAGGTAGGCACCTCAATGAAAGGCGGTTACACTTTAAAAGACATGTTCCTGTGTGGGTTCACTGACTGGGTTAAGCTGAAGCGGTGTATCGATGCTCACTGTCTTTTAAGGCAGAGAGAGAATCGCATGGGTTAACGTTAAAGGGCACAAAGTGACGTGATATTTCAGGGCAGGAGACAGAAAAAAAACAAATGATGTTAATTTGCGTGATTCTTCACCTCCGGGCTTGCAGAATGACTCATTCTTGATGCGAGAGATAAAGATAGAGAAGGAGAAAATGAAGTTGAAGCTTCAGGTTCATGACTGTGTTTCCTCTGCAGTGTATACTGTCGGTGTAGGTGTTGCGCAGATCAGTGTTAAATTTATATCGAAACTTTGACTGAGATGTCTCTAGGGCGTTCAGTTCAAAAGAGTTTGAGGTTTTACTGCTTTACCACGGTCTTCTTTACCATGCAGTTATGTAAATGTGCACTTTGCACAAGCCAGAATTGACCTCAATGTGACAGATTCACCCATTGATTGCTGACGGCTAGAGTTTCTCGTTGACTTGGAAGAATCTTTACAGACTTTTGATATAAAACCAAGAGTAAAATCAGAATTTTTCACACTATCTTGATGGACTATTTCAGGCATTTTGATGGAGCTGAATTTTACAAGCTTTATTGATCTCGGTCATGACGGAAACGTTAATGCTCTCTTTTTCTTCAGGGCGAGGGTGAGCACGAAGCATTATAAATTAGGTCTGCTTAGGCTCCGGGTTTTGTGCTGCTTTCTCTGGGTCCTAATTTACGAGGGGCCAGGATAGGTGGTGAGGGGGAAAGTGAAGCCAGAGGGAGTGGATCTGTCTGCGCGCAGGCTTATTTATGAGGCCATATACAACAGCTGGGCTTTGTGAGAGAACATTCTAAGCTTTGACTGGGACTGACACTTCACATCTGTCTTTCACCTCCTCCTCTCGCTCTCTCTATCAAATATCACTTTGTATTTAGACATTTGACTCCTTAACCCTATGCTTGTCTCTTCTCCTTTTATTGTGTTTCTTTGTGTCAATATTTCATTTAGTCTATTCTTAATTCTCTACTGTCTCATCTCACTTTTCTCCCTCTCATTGTGTATCATTTCTTTCAATCCTATATCTTAGTGCTGCACAATACTGAAAAAATCATGTTTTTTTGCAATATATATGCCGATATGAATAGAATTTCACCAGATGACTTGAATAGTTCTATATGGAAAGAATTTATTCATTTGGATTGATTGAGATGATTCTGTATTGAGTCAGCTATGCATTAAATATAATAAACAAATTATAAACAAAAATAAATACAATAATGTAAAGATAAAGCTTTATGGTTTTCTGGGGAATTCAATTCCTCTTTCAATTAAACTTATGTTTATTTCCTATAGCGCTTTTACAATGTAGATTGTGTCAAACAAAGAAGTTCTAGTAAATTTAGCGGTCAGTCCAGTTTTCAGAGTTGAAGTTCAGTTTAGTTCAGTTCAGTTTGGTTTTTCACTGCTGAATGTCCAAACACTGAAGAGCAAATCCATCGATGTGCAGCTCCACGATCGCAAACCAAACAAGCCAGTGGCAACAGTGGCGAGGAACAAATTCACCAATTGACGAAAGTGAAGGAAAAAAAAAAACTTCAAGAGAAACCAGGCTTAGTTGGGCACGACCATTTTCTCCTCTGACCAAATGAATGAACAGGAATGAACAGGATTCATGTACAGAAATTGATAAATCAATGTAAAATAGTCTTCGTGAGTATATTTTTCAGTAAAATTAACCTTAAATCAAACTTACAAGCAAGTTTATTTTTTAAATATGCCTGAATGCTTTAAACTCTTTTTTGTTTACATAGTCAAAGGCCCTAAACACACACAAAAAATAAGCTGTATTTTTATTATATTATATCGTTTATATTACAGTCAACTCTAATGCATAGTACAATGATAAACTTTCAATATCAGGTGTAAACTTTGCCACAAAACCCATGTATTCTTAATTATGGCTCCTGGTCAACTATAATCTCAACTCCACTTTTCATTACAGGTCCTGTGATGTGACAATTGTATACAGTTGAAGTCAGAATTATTACTAGATATTAGATATTTTTCAAGATACTTAAAGTGATATTTAAAGGCTTAACTATGTTAATTAGGTTAACTAGGCAGTTTAGGGTAATTAGGCAAGTTATTGTGTAGTGATGGTTTGTTCAGTAGAAAAATATCTATATAGCTTATAAACAAAATATATATATATATTATATATAGTAGCTTATATATCTATAGCTTAAAGGGGCTAATTATTTTGACCTTGAAATGTTTTTATTTTATTAAAAACTGCTTTTATTCTAGCAGAAATAAAACAAATAAGACTTTCTCCAGAAGATTAAATATTATTAGACATACTGTGAAATTTTTCCTGCTCTTTTAAACATCATTTGGAAAATATTTTAAAAATAAAAGGCGGGCTAATAATTCTGACTTTAACTGTATATGTTTGCACATTTCAATATGGATGCTGAAACGATATATTGTGCAGCTGTATTATATCTGTTTCATCTCATTAAGTCTCTTCTGTTGTCACCTTTTTTCTTTTCATCTTGTCTCTTCTAACTTTGTTCATTCTTCTACCTCTCAATTTCTCTTTTCTGCATTTCTTTGTCCCATCTCCTTTTATTTATCTCTTCTAATCTTCCGCTCTTATCTCTTCTCTATTTTCCTCATTTGATCTCTTCTTGTCTCATCTGCATTAATCATTGTATCTTATTGCATATATTTCATTTGCTCTCATGTTGTTTACATTTTATTTCTCACCTCACATTTTCTCGTCTCATTTTGTCTCTTCCTTTATGATTTGAGCTTTTACCTCGTCTCTTCTCACATCTATTGTCATGCTGTCTCTTTTCATCTCATCTTTTTCTTTTCATTTGATTTCATCTCATTTCTTCTCATCATTTCTTTTTTCCTTCCTTTTTATTTATTGGTATTAAGCAATACCATATATAGTAGTAGTACACAGTGCATAATAAAAACTAAAATTACAGACTGTCTTTTTATAAACCCACTCTTACTTTCCCATAAAACTATACATTATAATACATAGAGACAATCTCTCACATTAAACAGTAAAATCTTTAAGCGTGTAAATGACCCGAGTACACATTCACCCCCAGGGATCCCAAGCATCCAACGTAACGTAGGAGGTTCGAAACGCCCAAAGAGGGCATACCTGGCCTACCTGAAGACACGCTTTCATCTGTGTAAGTGCGCTAAGAGGTTTTGGTTTGCTGTGACTTGGCGTGAAATCTGTTGCACGTGTTTCCTCTCCTTTCTCACAGGATTTCTTCAGCACAGCTTGTTTAATCGAACTTGATGCTTGATGTTGCAGTGCTTATTACAGTATATTTGATCAAATGTAAATAAAATTCATTGTATAAAGCGGCTGATTTTATATTTGTATGTGTGTGTTTGCATAGGAATGCAAGTCCTGGAGTGGAACAACATTTCCTTGAGTGGTAAGACGTACGAGGAGGTGCAAGGGCTGGTTGGTCACCAGGTTGGAGAGGCCGAATTATGTATCAGACTGTGAGTGTCAGATTTGCTTAATTAATAGTTATGTGCTACTTTTTATTTCTGTTTTCTATCTAGCTCTGAATGAAACATGATATTTAAAGCCCCAATGTACAAATGCGGATTTACAATTTATTTAGCAAATATTCAGACTCAATACTTTGAATATGTTTTAACAAATCTAAATATTAAGAAAATTGCTATTTAAGTTGGGCAAATTAAGTGTTTAGCAAAGCATTTTCCTAATGAATAATTGAGATTTGATACATTTAGGGTAAAAAGTATCTGACATATCTTAATGGAACATGATCTGTAAACAATATTCTAATGATTTTTGCCTTAAAAGAAACTATTACCAAAAATAAACCTATTCAACTTGAGACTTTTGTGGTCCAGGGTCACATATTGATTTCCTGCTTGCTTTACTAAACTCCTCAATGTCTTTTTATCTCCAGTGACATAAATATGCTGTCTGATTCTGATAGCTCCCATCTAGACCTGCATGACCAGGTCAAAGGTGAGAACCTCGAGTCATTGAAAAAGACAATCAAATGAAATTGTCTTAATTAACCACAGTGACACTTGACTACTAACACCTGACTTCTAAATATACAGGGGACAGACCTCCACGGTCACCAGGTGTGGACCCCAAGCAGCTGGCTGCCGAGCTGCAGAAAGTGTCCCAGCAGCAGGTGCCGTCCTCCTCTGCGTCAGCACTGGATAAACCCTCAGCGTCTGCAGGCTCCAGTGCAGTTCCCAGTCCTGGCCAGCCTGGTTCACCGTCTGTCAGCAAGAAACGCCACAGCAAGGTATGCATATCCCATGTGCACAATTATTTTGTATACAGAAAGTCAAACGAAAAAACACGTCTTTCCTTACTGCTGATGTTTTTTGTTTCTTAGAACTCTGAGGGTACAAAAACTCAGTCCCACCCAGTTTCAGGAGAAATCCAGGTAGATTTAAACTCTCATCATCTCAGCTACATCTGTAGCTCATTAAGCAAACCTGCAAGTGGAATTTTAAAACTGTAATTTAGAGACCTGTAAAAGTGGAAATTTCAATATGAAACTATCTACGACTAGAAATTAGCTGCTTATGAATGAACACTCTATGAAATAACTCATATTTAATTTCACACTTAATTCATTGATTAAAAGAGTATTTATGTAATAGTCATTTGCCTTTTCAACAGAAGAAAGACATTTTTACTTCCTTCTATGTTGCAGCTTCAAATAAATTATGACAAACAGCTGGGAAATCTCATCGTCCATGTTCTCCAAGCACGGAATCTGGCGCCTCGGGACAATAATGGCTACTCTGATCCATTCGTTAAAGTTTACTTGCTGCCAGGTAGAGGGTAAGTACTTTCTGCAAATCTCAACTTACTGGAATTGAGTCTTAGAGGGATAGTTTACCAAAAAAATGAACATTCTGTCATCATTTATGCACCATATATTTGTCCCAAACCTGTCTGATTTTGTTGTAAACAAACTGTGAAAAAATGATATTTTAAAGAAAGCTGAAAACCTGTAACCATTGACTTTCACTTGATTTACCTACTTACTATATATGTCAATGGTTACAGTTTCTAAGCATTCTTCAAAATATATTCCCTTGTGTTTAACAGAAAAAAAATAACATAAAGCTTTTTAACCAATTGAGGGTGAGTAAATGACGAGTAAACCTTAATTTTAGGTTGAACTATCCCTTTAAAGTTCACCCAAAATGATAATTCTGCCATCATCTATTCACCCTTCACTTGTTCAAAACCTGTTTGAGTTTCTTTCTTCTATAGAAAAATGCTGGTAGCTGGCACCCATTGATTTTTATAGTAATTTCCCCTCATAAGAAAGTTAATGACTTGCCAGCTACTAACATTCTTCAAAATATCTTCCTTTGAGTTCAACAGATAAAAGAAACTCATAAAGGTTGAAAACCACCTGAGGGAGAATAAATTATGCAACATAGGCTAACTCTGAAAACGTAGCTCTATATACATTTCTGGAGACCACGAATTATGTAGCCAGAAGTACGTATGGCCGCATTTAATTTTTTTAAAACGATGCTACGGGGCAGTATAATGCTGTTTCGCGCTTACCAGCTGACCGCTTACCTCTGTTTGGACGGCTTTCCTGCTGTTACCAGTTTGTTCAGTAGCTCGCCATGTATGTCGGCGGACTTGAGACGCAGAGAGAAGTTGACCACAACGTTGGGGTTTGAGTCTGGTGAAGAACAGTTTCAGTAAGACAAAAACAAAAGCCAAAAAATAAAATGAATAAGTAAATCGCAGGGTGAGAATGCGGTAAAATCTGAAAACGTTGTAAAAATCAGGCGATGGCTTTAAGGTCGTTAAGGTTTAGGGAAGTGGGTGGGCGGGTCAATCGGTGCTTTTGAAAACACTATTGGTTGGGTTTAGGGAAGGAGGAGGGTGGGTCAGTCGATTGATCAGTCAGTCAACAGCAGCCTCTGGTGGATTTATGCGAGAACAGCAGGTGTGAATGAGAAATTTGAGCTCTCAAAATGAGTGATGAGTTTGAAAACAAAAATGGCAAAAAAAAAACATAGCTCCTGGGACATATTTAGTGCTCTCCAGAAATGTATTTAGGGGTACATCAGAATGAGCCTGGGTTGAAATTATGAGGCAATTTTCATATTTTGGGTGAACTTTCCCTTTAAGTGAGACCCAGTGTGGGTTGCCAACTGTGTTTGGTCAATATACAGGACATGTTAGATTCTAGTTTTAGAATCAATCAGAATCAGTTTCTACCTTTTTAAAAACTCTACCAGACAGTAAAGCTGTGAGATTACTGAGATGTTAAAATAAGATGTTAGTATCTTGACTCCTGCTGAAAAATAAAACCACCTGTTTCACCCTTGCCACTGTAAATTAAGACTCCCAGAGCAGCTCTCCTAGAGGCTACTTTCCGAGAGTTAACGAAACAGAAAATCACTTATCCAGCTGTAATTAGCATCAGGTCTGTGGGAAAGACTTGAAAAGGATTATGCATACTGTGTAAGCCCTAGTTTTTTTAGCTAAATTTTAAATAGGTGTATGCGCGCTTGTCCGCCTGTTTATGTGTGCTGTAAGTGAGTCAGCAAACGAGGAAAATCAATGCCAGCTGAGTTTGTGTGTAAAATGATAGCGCTGACTGATGTTTGTAGGCTGGTGTGTATGTTTGTGTATGTGTGTCGGACCATTTCTGGCTCTCATCTGATCATGCAGTACTTGGATTGAACCTACAGAAACAGGAGCTCTCCATTTCTCAGCTCCATATGGGCATGAATGCATGAGCTACTGCGAACACACACACATGCATACACACACCTTTGCGGTCTCCCACTCATCACTGATTGTTGTCTGTTTTTGCTGCATGCTGGATCTTCACAGTCAGGTCATGGTTGTGCAGAATGCCAGGTATGTGATTCTTTCCTACAGTACAAGCAGATTATTGAAGACTTGGCCATGCTTGGACATGAACGGCTTAATGATGTTGTTTTTTGCTCTTTATGTCATCATTATGCATTTGATTACATTCTTAATGTAGTATATGGTCATTGCAACAACACAAGTGGGCCTATACTACATGTCCTCCATCGTGCAGACCATCTGCCACCAGCGTGGGGTGTTTCGTGTTGAAGTCTAGTGCACACTAATGCTCTATTTTAATTGAATGCTGACCTCTTGGTGTGTTTGTTTTTCTCAACCGCAGTGCTGAAAACAAAAGAAGGTCCAAGCATGTTCAGAAGACCCTGAACCCGGAGTGGAACCAGACTGTCATCTACAAAAACATCCACCTTGAACAGGTAACCAAACACATCTAGGTTGCGCTTCAGATGTCTAGGAAAAATTCTGATGGAAAATGTTTTACTTTGAAGATTTCATACCAGTTTTGAGGTTTCAATTATATGAAAGCTCTTCAGAGAGAATCTCAGGCTTTTGGTGCAAACAGGGAATAGTCTGTTGTCTCCCAGAAGTGCTTTACTCTAATTAAGACCAAAGAGCTTCTTTAGTCGGTTGAGCTCTCTTAGGCAGACACTGACAGATGTGATTGATATGTTTTTACTGGACTATTGAAGCGAGGCCAGTGCCTCTTAATTGAGAGAGAAAGACAGAATGCAGGTAAGTGAGGCTTGTGTTGAAAACCATCTGGATTTAATGCTCTAGTACTACATATCATGTTGAAGATGTTTACCAATTTAACAGATAAGACTTTTTTGTCTTTGTTTCCAGCAAGGAAAAATATAGAGTTGAAATCAGAGTTATTAGCCCCCTATAATTATTAGCCCTCAATTTCTGTTTATTGGAGAGAAGATTTGTTCAACACATTTCTAAATATAATAGTTTTAATAACTCATTTCTCATAACTGATTTATTTTATCTTTGCCATGATGACAGTACATAATATTTTACTAGAAATTTTTAAAGACACTTTTATACAGTTTAAATTGACATTTAAAAACTTAACTAGGTTAATTAGGTTATCTAGGTGTAACCCTGCCGGTCCTTTACCACCCAACTGGGGTTGAACCGGCAACCTTCCGCAGGGGAGTCAGTTGCTCTTACAAGGAGGCTAAAGACCATTGCCTCTAGCATCTGTCACTAGAGCACCTTCTTAGAGTTCAGAGGAGTGAGGTTTTACCTACACAGCACTTCACTAGCTTGCCTCCGCTACATAGGCAGGTTAGGGTAATTAGCCAATTTAATGTATAACAATGGTTTGTTCTTTGACTATAGAAAAAAATATATAACTTAAAGGGGCTAATAGTTTTGACCTTAAAATGTTTTTTTATTATTATTATTATTAAAAACTGCTTTTATTCTAGCCAAAAATATATAAATATATATATACTTTCTCCAGAAGAACAAATATTATCAGACATACTGTGAAAATTTCCTTGCTCTGTTAAAAAAAGAAAAAATCAAAGGGGTGCTAATAATTCTGACTTCAACTGTATATTTAACTCAGAAGCAAAGTTTAGAGGGAACGAGCAAAGAAATCTATATATATATATATATATATATATATATATATATATATATATATATATATATATATATATATATATATATATATATTTAGAAGCAAAGTTTAGAAGGAATGATTTATTTTTTCTGAAGTAAATGTCATTTAAACATTTTTACATGATTCTTTAGAAATCACTCTAAAATGTTGTGCTTGTGTGCTTTGCGTTATTACTGTTGAAAACCATTGTGCTGCTCAGAATTATTGCAGAAAGCAAAATCAATTTTCACTTGTTATCTTTTTGAGGTAGAACTATCGATTGTAACTTTTAATAAAATTAATACACTATGTACTCACTGAATTCTGAATAAATTATAAATCCTAATCACCCTACTATGCAGGTTGTAGGCTGTATTCCGGCAATGTATGGTGATAAAATCACAAACTAAGTAATTGGCATTGAATGCTCTGTGTTTGTGTGGTGCGTGTTTAGTTGAGAAAGAAGACACTGGAGGTCAGCGTGTGGGACTACGACAAGAGCTCTGCCAATGACTTCTTGGGAGAGGTGAGAAGCTTTAAGCACACTTTGGAATATTAAACACCGGGTCCATTCTGTATAAAAGTTCAAGGCTGCAAATCCAAGAGATGGACTCTCATCTTACGGTCACTGAATAATCATGAAATTGTACATGTATGGTGATTTATAGGTTTTAATTGACCTGTCCAACACGGCCCAATTGGACAACGTCCCACGCTGGCTTCCTCTAAAGGAGCAGAGTGAAGGCGAGCATCACCGGCGCTCTCACTCGGGACAGGGACGTCAGCATTCACCCAAACCCCCTGGAGGACACGGGAGCCAGCACTCCCCAAAGACCTCTGGACACAGCAAGGAGGACTCGCCCAAATCCTCAGTCATTAAGAGCCGTAGTCACGGAATCTTCCCTGACCCTGCTAAGGGTATGAGTGCACGTCGCATGCCACTTCTCCTTTCACATTTCCAGACGTGATGTCTTCCTGTCCTCCATCCTACTACTGCTGTCATTTCTCTGCATTCTGTCTTCTTTTCTTCTCTCTGTATTGTTCTTGCTTTCACTTGATCTCTCCATCCTATATTTCTCAAGCTTCCTAGCTTTGGCTTTTCGCTCTCCATATATGTGTGTTGAGTTCACTACGGCGCTGAGCTCACCAGCGCTTCACTCCAGTCACCTCACGCAAGGTGTGACAGGGCCGCTCAGACAGCAAGCAGCCTGCTTAGATGCTAACTAGGGCACAATAGTGGAACACACCACTTATGTCAGATGGAGACTCAATAGTTTTAAAATAACATAACCAGATCATCTGTGTAGTTTATGTATATTTTAATTAAGAAGTTTTTGAAGAATTTAAATGAATAAATAGGCTAAAAAACAGCTCTTGTGGTAATTTGGTTCTGGTTGTTTTAGACACGCAGGTGCCCACTATTGAGAAATCTCACAGTAGCCCCAGCTCTTCGAAGCCATCCCTCTCCGAGGGTCAAGCCCGTCCCCATGGAGGCCCCCGTGCTCATGGCAAAAGTGGCACGACCCGGGCACACCTTGATGATGCTGCAGCAATGGCTGAAGCTGCCGGCCAACAGCCCCGTCTCCAACCAAGTAAACGACGCAAATAAACCCTCCACAGCATGGCTGCCTTCGCACTCATCTGTTCCTCCTTCTGTTCTTTTTCACTGCCTTAGTTTGGTTTTTTCCTTTCCCCGTGATTGTTTTCTGGTTTCTCCAGTTTTTCTTCCTCTGATCTCCTTGTGGTCACAGTCTGTCACTTCACTTCCTCCCGGCCTGTGTGTTCTCACTAGTATGTTGAGGACATGTCACATACACTTGTACAGAAACATATACTCTTTTTTATGACATTTTTTAACACATACATTTAAGGGAGCATGTTATATTTAGTGTTTTTATCATGGAACTGGTCAAGAGATCATTTATAAAAGTATATCATTGTATCATATTTTAAAGTTACAGAGCTAATCTATGAAGTTTTCTATTTGAACTTAATAATTTGTCCTTAAGCTTCCTTACGTCCTTGAAACCCTGAACAGTTCCTGTTGCATATGGGTTTAACTTTCAAGGAACACCCTATATGCCAATGCATAAAATAATGGTACAAATAATGATTCAGAATAGATTTTTAAAAAATAGACTCCAGCTTAAATATTGTGCAGAAACAACAACTATTTCTGACCTAGTCTGGCACTTTGCTGCCCATCAATCAGTATGCTAAGTTGGATTACTAAGACCTGTCAATCACTGTGAGGAGATCTGACTGCACATGTCACGCACTTAGTCATGCAGACCTGTCATATTACCCCAAAGGGACATGTTGGAACCTTACTACTAAGGTTTTTTTAGGTAAAACCTGCTCATCTTGCCATGTTATTAAAGTTAGAGAGTTTAAGTCCTGCACCAAACACAAAATCAACACCTTTTGCCCACCTGAGCCCTTCACAGCAGCCCTGACAACCTTTTTATTTAACTCTTTATTTATTTGTCCCATTGAGTTGTTTTCTGTCCCAGACGGCCAGCTTTTCAGCAGCTACCCCACTCCACGAGATGGCCATGCATGTGGCCGCCACTCCTTAAAGCACCATCCCACCCTGCCTTCACTCTCTCTGCGGCTCTCGCTGGCCTACACTGCACCTCAGTCAACGCTTTGAGCCCGAGCCGGGCCGTGCGGACTGTGGCTGCATGTGACTACACAGTAAAAGCTGGTGGTGTCCATGTTGTGACAAGTTCATACTCTGAGTCTCCATCTCGCCCCCCTTCTCCCCTCTCCAAACCTCCCCTCCTTCTCACCTTCCACCCCGTGGCTGATATATGGCCCCAGCCCAAAATGGCGGCCTCGACCCGAGGCACCACAGGCACAGCGTAGTTGGTGTGCTCACCATTCAGAGAGCCCCGTCTGAGTCGACGGCCCATGAGGTCCCTGACGGCCGTCACCTGACCCTCAGGAAAGCCCTGTCTGAAGAGAGGCCGCAGCCGGACGGAGGTGAGAGATGAACGTCTCGTATGATTGCCGATGACAGCAAGAGAGAAAGAGCGAGAGGATGTTGAGTTACTAACGCACATCTAACTAGTGGAACTAGCTGAAGACACTTTGCATAAGGTGTATTTGTGCCTACAAAGGGCACTATGGGAAGGGGACGACTTACAATGAGTTATTCCGAATGAAAGTGAGCAAAACTATTTCAGAAATTACGATTAAGTGAAGGCTAATTCATACCTCTGCGTCAAGTGCACTCGTATGGTCCGGTGCAGCCTTTTGTACTGTCGCATAGCCCTCGCTGTGGCTGATGCTGATGCACACCTGTCCAAAAAAAGTAACTACACATTGCAAAGCGTAGCGCAAGCTCTGTCATTGGTTGGCTTGGTACCACTGACAAGCATGGGCGGTGTTGAGAGCCACAAGCCTGATAGAGCAAATGTTCACAAGTGTTAAATCCCTCGAAGGAGTTCCAGATGAAAACTCTTGGTTTGTGTTTATCTTATAATTAAAGTTGTTGCAAGTTCGCCAGTTTTAGCTACTTTTAGCATTCAGAAAAAAACAAAACACCTGCAAAGAAACTCAACAGAGGAAGATAAAAACCTACTTCCAGCTTGCATTTCGGGAGGGTTATTGCAGAGAAACACAAACAGCACACAGAAGTATAAATGCTACACGCAAGGCAGGTGCCGTGGGTCATACCGATCACTCGACGCAGAAGTATAAATCAGTCTTAAATCTGTAGTTAGTAACACATGAACTTAGGTGGTGCATCTTTACAATTTTCTTTTTAAAACCTGAAAAAAAATTAATTCTGAAACCCTCGGTTGATTGAAATTGCAGAACATTGCAGGTTTAAATATTAAGTTACTGTACATGTTTACGTACATTCAAGTTTAACAAGTAATAGGTAGCAATATAGTTAAATTACAGATGCAAATAGACAATATTTAAGATTTTTATAAGCAATCTTATCAGAAATATGCATGAAATTTGTCAAGTAAATGGCCTGTTCACACCAAGATGAATGTTTTGCATTTTCATTTGAATAAACAGAGGGTGTACTGTACAACTGCATGGATAAAAAAAAACTCATTTTCTAATGCAGTGCAGAGAAAACTGTCCAAACATGGCATTTACCTGAAAATGGTGCATTAAAAACAGAATGTTTTTCATTAGGTTTTTGGAAAAGTTTTGATTTGTATAGAAGGATCAAGAAAAATAACTAAAACCGATGTAATATCTATTATCTATGCCAACCAGTGCATGGCAACATCACATTGTAAAGAAACATTACGTCTAAACACAATTAGTCCTGTAGTCCACTATTCATCTTGTGGTTGTCAAGATCCAGCACATGAGTTGGTGGCCATTTTTTAACCAGATTCGTCTGATGCTAATTCAAAACACTTGGATTGGCAGGTTAAAAACAGGTCAAGTAACCTTAAAACCTTCTTCATATTTTCCAAGTGGGTAGGGTCTAGTGATTCTCACTTTCAGCAGGAATCCACTCTCTGCCACTTCACAGGAAATTCATGCAGCGAGTCTCAGTCTGATACAACAGTCCAGCAACGTGCTTCCCTAAAACCAGGGGACTAAACTGTAGTAAAACTGAAATGTTGACCCCCTAACCATCCCAAGAGATGCCTGGTGTTAGTGTCACCGTTGCTGAATCTGATTGAAAAAGACTGTGTGCATGAATTACGTGTTGAAATCACGCATCCCACGTCACACCATCACCATCACTCTCGATCAAACACTTCCAAATACATCAACATATAAAACACAATCTTAAGTAACAACCATTTAAATAAACTAATATAGCGCCAACGGAATTAGCACAATTGTTCTTACTCGCTTAATGTTCTAAACTAAAACACACAGATTACTAATGAACAGTTTAATTTGTTCTGTCTGTGCTTTTGCTTCTGTCATCTGATGTCTGCTTAGCATATCTCTGTCTGTGATGTTTCCTTTCATTTATTGAGTGCCGTCATGCTTTTTTAAATGTTGCCAGTAGTGCCAGTATCTATCGGTGTGTTTGTGAGTGTGTGTTTGGAGTGAATATGTGGACATCTACCCTTTATTTGCTAGTTGCAAACCAGTAGTAGTGTATGAGATTAATGCGACTCACATAGTCCACTTCAAAAACAGCGTCCCGCAGCCATAGATCTGGTGATGCTCCTGTTACTGCAGCCTCATTGGATAGTGGTCTGAGCGGCAGTGCCTTTAGCCTATTGGATGAAGAGGGCGGGACAAATGCGGTGGATAGTGCAATTTTCCAGGTTCCCAGATTGTGAGTGCTTTTTCGTATGACTCTGTATAATAATTGCTAATCAATTATGGTGTTTTTATAATAATAACTTTTTTAATTTTATCTAAAACGCTTTTTAATGCCTTTTTATTATCTGCATTTTCTTGGCACTCTGACCTGATGCTATTTATCATTCAGTGGAAAGATTCCAAACGGCACAGAAGCTGTGAAATCCGCTCATGGAGATGCAGAGGGTAATGTTTGCATGGGACGGTGTGTGCTTATTTGTGCTCGTCTGTGTCAATAGCAGTGTATTTGAATGTATAATTTTGCATCAGAGTAGCTAAAATGCTCAAATTATCATATAGTGTTTTTATCATTTAATAAATTAAGTTGCATTCTTTTCAATTACATTAAATTACACTTTCATTCTAAGAATAAAAGTGATTTGGAGTGTGTAATTCCTTTTTTGCATTTATTTGGTTAAAATACAGTGATATTTTGATTTTAATTACAAAACAACTGTTTTCTAAAAAGTTTATTCAGTGGCCATTAGTACAGGCCTCTTTGTCAGTATTCTGATATATTTATTCCTTGATAATGCATTTTTAGGATTCATTTGTGTTTAGCAAATCTTAAAATAAGCAGCATTTATTTTAAAGGGCACCTATGTTGAAAATCATCTTTTGGAAGCTGTTTGAGCAGAACTGTGGGTTGGTAAAGTGTGTCCACAGTCATATTGGGGTGATATAAAGACAATAAGTCTCTTTTAATTTCCTGACATTAAAATAGGATCCAAATCCCACCCATTTTGAGGTCCACTGCAACGTAATGTAGGAGTGTGGTTTCCCCTCGCTCTGAATTGATTGACAACCACGTATTAACATGTCTCTGTTGTAACACGTATAATTATTTCAACAAGACAGGACATGTGCAAATCAACTGGGATTAAAAGATCTGTTCGCCTCTCTGTGATCATCAGTCATCATCAAATGTGATCAAGAATGAGTTTTACAAGTTTAAAACGTTTTTAAAAAAGACGGTAAAATCGTTGTAATTCTTCACCACAGCCGCATGTCAGTACAATTATAAAAGAAGATGCTTTAATCACAGTTTGTGGACATCAGGTTTATTTTACTGCATTAACATAAGGGATATCCTTACAGCAGTAGATAATAATGTGTATCCTGTCACATTTTCCATGCAAAAACAGTGCAAAGTTAAACGCGTGCGCTGTATGTGTGTGTGATTTTTGTAATGACATTGTGTGTGAATTAACTCCATAACAAATACATCAAATAATCAGTGAGAAAATTCTTATTGTAGTATTTCTCACAAAAAAAAAAAAAAAAAAAAACATTATATGACATCTGCTTCCTTCATGTCTGTCACTGTGCTGTTTAACTGATGCATTCGGAGATTGAGGCACACTCTGACAGGCACGTGGGAACGGTGGGTGGGGAGAACCTGCTCATTTGCATTAAAGGCAAAGGCAACAAAACAGCTACAATGTGTAGAGCAGAAAATTCCAGTATGCTCAAAGGTTTAGTAAATAATCTGATGTGTGTTTTGAGCTAAAACTTCACTGACTCCTTTTGGAGAGAGAATTTTAAAAAAGGGGTAAAATAGGTGCCCTTTAAATTATTTTTTTAACAATGCAACACTCAATTTCATTTATGATCAGTTTAACAGATCATTCAATGTATATACTTTTATAAATTACTTTTTGAAGAGGGAATTTAAATAGTTCCTCCCATATTAAACTATTTCCTCTGGCTATAAATGTGCTAGATTCTTTCACACTGTCTGAATGCTCCTCTTGTGGATCAAAGATTTACAAAATAGGGGAGGAAAAGATAAAGAGATATGAGGAGGAACTGAGATACTGACCTGTTCATGTGTGTGTGTGTGTGTCTTTTTAGGTAAGACTCAGGTGATGGGGGAGATAAAGATCGCCCTGAAGAAAGAGATGAAGACAGAGGGAGAACACCTGGTGCTTGAGATCCTACAGTGCAGAAACATCACATATAAATTCAAGTCTCCCGACCACCTCCCAGGTAACTAAACATGCGACTGCGAACATGTTTATACACACTATATTTACTAAAGGTGAAGTCACACCCACATATTTCACAATTGCCACAGACCGATGGCAGAAAGTTTTTTCTAGAAAGTTGGATTGGACAAGCTCTTTAAAACTCTCGAATTGAACAACACACAAATTTTGTGCACATTCATTTTTCATTTACAGACCTATATGTGAAGCTTTATGTGGTGAATGTGGCCACTCAGAAAAGAATCATCAAGAAGAAGACCAGAGTGTGTCGTCATGATCGCGAACCATCTTTCAACGAAACCTTCCGCTTCTGCATGAACCCCACCGGTCATTCCATTCAGGTATGCCAGACATTGGTCAAAAATCGAAACAGATCAAAGTCCGAAAATAATTTATGAACCCTTTTTTTATACCTACTGTATTGTTTATAATTCAAAATCACTTGGATTTTTGTTTTTAAAGGGCACTTATGACAAAAATCTACTTTTGTAAGCTGTTTGGACAGAACTGTGTGTAGGTATAGTGTCTCCACAGTCATATTGAGTGATAGAAACAATAAGTCAATTTGTTTTTAATTACCTGGCATCAAAATAGGATCCAAATCCCTCTAATTTTAAGGCCCACCGCAACGTGACATAGGGGTGTGGTATTCCCCACGTTTTAACACATTTCCTTAGTAACACATACAGTATAATCATATGCACAAGACAAGACGCGCACAAAGAAACTGGGATCTGTTCAGCTTGTTAGAAATAAATACAGTAAAATCACTGTAATTCATCACCACAGCCGCAAAATTATTAACAAGATGCTTTGTGGACATTAAGTCTGTTTTTTTTTTTGTACATAAGTAGATCCAAAAACCGTTGGGTAAGTTCTAACTGTTGTAAGTGAGATCAGCTTCATTCTTGTCTGTCACTGTGCTGTTTATCTATGTGAAGGCTACAGAGATCTGTGACACACATGTGGGAAGGTGGGTGGGGAGAACCAGCTCATTTGCATTAAAGGCACAGGCAACAAAAACAGCTACAACAGCTCAAATTTCTCAGATTAAAAAAGTTATAATAAATGATCTGATGGGTATTTTGAGCTGAAACTTTACAGACACATTCTGGAAAAACAAGAGACTTGCATTAAATCTTGAAAAGGGGTAAAATGGGTGCCCTTTAAATGCAAAAATTACAAAAAATATATTATAGAATAAAGAAAGTTTACAAGTAAAATGTTCTCTTCAAAGTTAAGACTGACTGGGTTCTCCAATTTTGATGTTCTTTTTCAAATATCTAATTTTTAAGGTGGCAGAGAGTGCTTAAACCTGCTGCAAGTTAATAAAACGCATGCAAATAGAAAACTGAAAGATCTTCATCAATTTGACAACACATGCGCATGCAAAGTCTTACAAAATACAAAAACACTGAAATGTGCTGCAAATATTACAGACCACTCGGATTTTGCGTTTGGTAACCCTTAAAAGTGAGAGAAATGGCTGCTTCAGTCAGCGGTGCTTTCAAAGATCTGGGAGGTGTGCTGTTTTTGTTTATTTTAATGTCCTTGTCATGTGTATTTTAGCCCAAATAATCTGACAAATTGCACAAATAATTTTAAATTAAAAGTTATTTTAATGGCATTTAAGCAGGAGTTAACTTCAGAACAACAAGCATGTCGCAAGTAACTCTACAATCAGGACATTTTTTTAACAAACTCACTCATATCTTTGACAACACAGCTTTATTAGCAGTGCGTTTCTATATTTTATTTATGTTTTGTGAGAATTTCGTGTGTATGTGTTGTCAAAAGGATGAAGCTGTTTGTTAGTGTTTTTCTTAACTTTCAGTGCATTTGAGCTCTCTTTGCCACCATACATTTAAGTATCTCTCTCATATCATGAAACGTATGAAAACAAAATTCATGATGACTTCAAATAGGACTAAGCTGTTTCACCAAAATATAGAAATTGTGAAGTTCACAAGCGTAAAATTAGCCTAGACTTGAAATAGTGATACTGATTTCTTCCAATCCTCGCAGCTCTTTCTTGTTTCAAACGGAGGCAAGTTTGTAAAGAAGACCCTAATCGGCGAAGCGTACGTGTGGCTGGATAAAGTAGACCTGCGTAAACGGGTGGTGAGCTGGCACAAGCTGCTGGCCAGCACAGCTCAGATCCACTCCTAAAGAAGGCGGTCGATTGAGGCGCGTGGACAGACCCGGCACATCTCTGCCGCACTCTTTGGGACTAAACTGAGCTGAATTTGGAGGGCCGACGCGGGGAGATTCCCGATTGCACTGGCACATGTGATTGTGTTAACCCAAGCCATGGAGAAACAGGTGTACAATGGTGTTTACAGGAAAGATCTGATCCTGAAAGATGCAGATCTGAAAAAAAAAAGTGAGCTGGAGATTCACGTAAGATTCATACACATGTGTACATGCACTTTCACAATCACTTACTGGTGTATCTATAAAATAATATGTGTACATTGGGCCACGACAGACAGTTAGACGATAGAGCGAACGTTTATTTGTTGCCAGTAATTTGTGCATTATTCATAAAGGATTATTTAACAGACAGATATCATATATATATTATTTTTGTATGATAGAGACGATTCCGCTTTAGATATTTATCCTTCTTTTACATTCCCTCAGATGTTATTGTGTTGAACGAATATTTAAGCACATTATCAATGGATTAGAAGAGTATTTTATGGTATATTATAGACAGATTTAAACGAATGAAATTTGATTTATTGGGTGTTGTGATGACTCTTTGTGTCAGTACGGTTATTTCCACTCACACAAGTAACACACGATACGGAATTCATCAGCGGATTCAGAGAGAATCAGGATGAATGCAAGTACCCAGCAAGCATTTTTTTGTTTAATAGATGTCAAATAGACGTCTAAACATAGTCGCCTTGGCTAAAACTAGACTACATTTGGGCTGTCAGTGAATAGACGTCTAAGAATACTAGACTAGTCATCAAATAAACAGAAATGAATGACTACACATATAAAGTCTGTCTAATCTGTCTATTTGTTTTGGGCTATTCTTAGACATCTATTAGATTTTCACTGACAGCCAAAGTTTAGTTTTGTTTTAGCCAAGCTGTCTACGTCTATTAGACGTCTATTAAACACAAAATTGTTTGCTGGCTAATTTAAACGTTTAAGAAAACTGCCAGACTTGCACAGAAAGCGAATGGGGAGTCTTGTTCGATGAATGTGACAGATGAAATATCTCAAGCATGCAGCAGCATCAGTTGAAAATGTCAAATCCAGCACTGTTATATGATTTGCACTTTGAGTCTAGCATTTTATGAATGTAGTTTGCTAGCTTTTTTTCTTTTTTTAAGTAGGTTCTATCAAAAAATAAAGAGAAAATCAAGAAATATCCTGCCATTTAAATCAGTCAAGCACTGTTAAAACCTCCACAGATGGATTAGAGCTCGAATGGAGCTCGAATGGGTCAATGTCATGTCTTGTCCGGACGTTTTCATATCACAATGTTAATATTAGCCTATGTTTTATGACAAACAAACTCCTAAACACTCAGGTTTCGATGTAAAAGCCTTGCTTAAACGTTATTAGCCGATCTCTGCTCTAAGCAGCTTAAAAGGCGACAATGAGGATCAGGGTGAAGACATCGCGTCGTTTTGAGTTTACACACATTTTGACACACGCTCATCTCATAATTTCAGAAAAGTGTGGCCACCTCAGACACTGAAATGCCATTAGTGTTATCTATATGTTTTTTATTATGCCTTTAAACAGGATGTGTGGATATAACCTTGCAAAACGTAACCCAGCCATTTTACCAAGTCAAGCACTGACGGTACACAAATGTCCAGCGTTAAGGGTGAAATCGGCCTTTAACCTGTGCCAAACTACCAAAACCCGCAGGTTCTGTGTATGTTATTCTATGCAACCCAAAAGGCATCTGTTGTACTTATCATTTAATGGCCGTAATGCATTATAATGACTTTTATTTTGTCATTTTAATGTATTTTCCCAACTGACGTTTATTTATATATATTTTTAATTTTGCTTGGTGCTTGTTTATTAATTTGATTGCATTTTTGACAGTTCCTTGCAGTCCGCTGTTAAACTGTAAATGTGCATAACTACAGTAAATGTGTGTTTATAGCAGATTCATGAATTCAGTCACAGTGTCTGGAAAAAACACTATCTCACTGCACTCAGCTTTATATACAATGCTCGGTTCTCACTTTATTATATTCTGATCTCTCAGAATGTGCGTTACTATTTTTTATGTTTACAAATGAAGAGGAGAAAGAGCATTCGTTGTAACCAACGCGACCTCCTTCGAATAGCCCGTGCATGCATCTTTTTCACTTAATTGCCACACTGACTCTCTCACCTCTGCAAAATACATAAAAAATGAATATAAAAGCAGCCATGTAAATAAAAGAATACTTTTCTTTTTGTACAAATAGGTTCTTGTATTGGTTTTCTGGTTCAGAGAAGAGCATGTTTGAGGGAAAGGAGAAGAGCGACTGTGTTTTTGATCTGTGTGTTACATGTTGTACATGCACTAGGGTAAAAGCTTTCCCCATGCTTGCCTCTGACAGACTGGACTGGACTTGACTTGCACAACAGACACAGATTTAACCCTGTATAATAATAACAATAATAGTAATAAAGAGCAGATGCTGACCTTACTGACTCAGAGTAGAATCAGGAAAAAGTGTGGTGTTTTCACTTTGGATGTTGCATGTTTTGTTGTTCATACTATTTTTGTGTCCAGATTCTATTTACAAAAAGAGAGGGGGAAAAAAAAGATGATGAAAAATTAATCAAACCTAAATATGTATGCTGACTGTACAAAGATATGCTTGTATAATCCGTCTGGTTTTCCACTTAATGTAAACTGATGAAAAAAAATATTCCAACTGTCATGGTTTTTGTGGTTGTACACAAACGGTATTGATAAATTATGCAAATTGTGCTGTAATAAAAGGCTAATGCCCCAAGTCTAAATATTAAATGATATATGTAAAATTCTCCCTGATCTCAGTCAATGAGTCTTTTACTTTCTATCTATCTATCTATCTATCTATCTATCTATCTATCTATCTATCTATCTATCTATCTATCTATCTATCTGTCTGTCTGTCTGTCTGTCTGTCTGTCTGTCTGTCTGTCTGTCTGTCTGTCTGTCTGTCTGTCTGTCTGTCTGTCTGTCTGTCTGTCTGTCTATCTATCTATCTATCTATCTATCTATCTATCACACACACATGACCTTTGACCTATAACCTAAACAACAAATAAATGTATGTACATATTATTCATTTTTTATTTCCCACTTATAAGAAATAAATTGATGCCATTTACCTGTAGATACGTAGATGAAGAGGCGCCCTCTAGTGTACCTAGGGTGATAATGGTCTGTGTTCGAACTGGCTAAAATGTGTAATGACGTTAGCCGTTTCAAACACTACAGGGGGCGCTAAACTGCGGTTTTCTCTGTGTTATTATCTATGATGTTTAACAGAGTAAATGAATGTTCACAGTATGTCTGATAATATTTTTTTTCTTCTGGATAAAGTCTTATTTGTTTTATTTTGGCAGTAATAAAAGCAGTTTTAAATAAATACATATATATTTTAAATAATTTTAAGGTCACTAATTATCTCCTATAAGCAGTATATTTTTCATTGATATACAGAACAAACCATCGTTATACAATAACTTACCAAATTAACAAAATAACAAATTACCCTAACCTGCCTAGTTAACCTAATTAACCTGGTGAAGAATTTGCATGTCACTTTAAGCTGTATAAAAGTTTCTTGAAGCATATCTAGTCTAATATTATTTACTGTCATCATGGCAAAGAGAAAATAAATCAGTGTCTGTCTGTCTATCTGTATATCCATCCATCTATCTATCTTTCTATCTATCTATCTATCTATCTATCTATCTATCTATCTATCTATCTATCTATCTATCTATCTATCTATCTATCTATCTATCTATCTATCTATCTATCTATCTATCTATCTATCTATCTATCTAAATTGTCAGTCTTCTTTATTGAATCATGTCTGTGCAGTTATTCCTGAAAATGTACATGAGTTGTTAGGGTTAAGGGTTTGGTTGGGGTTAGGGTTAGGGGTTGGTTGGGGCTAGGTTGGGTCAGGGTTTGAAAGGGAATCAGTTTCTTATTTATTAATTAATGATTGTTTATTTTATGTAAACATGTATTTTTAATAGATTATTTTGCAGTATTTACTTTTATTTACTGAAAAACATTTTAAATTGTTTTCATTTTGTTTGTTTTAATCAAGCAAGTTTTTTTGATAAATTGCTGCTTACTATTTTTAATTAATGTATAGTAATGTATTTCTATTAATTACTCAATGAAATCGTATTAAATGACTTTATATATGACAGTAATTCTACTTAAACTATTTTTCAAAATCTATCTATCTATCTATCTATCTATCTATCTATCTATCTATCTATCTATCTATCTATCTATCTTTCTATCTATCTATCTATCACACACACATGACCTTTGACCTATAACCTAAACAACAAATAAATGTCAATCATGTCGTTACACATATTATTCATTTTTTATTTCCCACCTATAAGAAATAAATTGATGCCATCTACCTGTAGATACGTAGATGAAGAGGCGCCCTCTAGTGTACCTAGGGTGATAATGGTCTGTGTTCGAACTGGCTAAGATGTGCAATGACGTTAGCCGTTTCAAACATTACAGGGGGCGCTAAACTGCGGTTTTCTCTGTGTTATTATCTATGATGTTTAACAGAGTAAATGAATGTTCACAGTATGTCTGATAATATTTTTTTTCTTCTAGATAAAGTCTTATTTGTTTTATTTTGGCAGTAATAAAAGCCGTTTTAAATAAATATATATATATATATATATATATATATATATATATATATATATATATATATATATATATATATATATATATATATATATATATATATATTAAAATAATTTTAAGGTCACTAATTATCTCCTATAAGCAGTATATTTTTCAATGGTCTACAGAACAAACCTTCGTTATACAATAACTTACCAAATGAACAAAATAACAAATTACCCTAACCTGCCTAGTTAACCTAATTAACCTGGTGAAGAATGTACATGTCACTTTAAGCTGTATAGAAGTTTCTTGAAGCATATCTAGTCTAATATTATTTACTGTCATCATGGCAAAGAGAAAATAAATCAGTGTCTGTCTGTCTATCTTTATATCCGACCATCTATCTATCTATCTATCTATCTATCTATCTATCTATCTATCTATCTATCTATCTATCTATCTATCTATCTATCTATCTATCTATCTATCTATCTATCTATCTATCTATCTATCTATCTATCTATCTATCTATCTATCTATCTATCTATCTATCTATCTATCATCTATCTATCATTCTTTCTGTCTGTCTATCTGTCTGTCTGTCTATGAATTCTGTACATACATGGTTCATTGTGGGACTTTTATTTTGAAGGAAATGGCGGCGTCGTCACATTTCAACCAACCATACAGTAGTAAACACACTGGAAGTCTCTATTTACACCATTCTGCTTGTAATGCATCTCATGTGTAATGTTACATTGCTAACATTCTAAACTATTTATTTAGGAGACCTTAACTGAGCTAAATGGAGGAAGAAAACACAGTCAAGCTCTTAATCAAGGCAGTTCAGCACGGAGAGCTGTGCACAGTCAAACAACATCTTAATGAGCTCGCCGACAACAAACAGACAGTCATTTACACTCATTTCGGGAAATCTGGAGATACCGTACTCCACTATGCGGCCAGACACGGACATGTAGACATTTTACGTTATTTGGTTGAAGAGCTCAACATGGATATTGAAGTGTACAACAGCGACTATAAGCGAGCTCTGCACGAGGCTTCCTCAATGGGTCATTATGAGTGTGTGCGGTTTCTCATATGCAGAGGAGCGAAAGTAGACAGTCTGAAGAAAGCAGATTGGTATGTCATGAATGCAGTATGCAATTATTAAATGTATAAACAACTCGTTTCTTGTAGTATGAAGTATCTAGTAGGTAGTATGGAGATCGTTGTGTGTCCCCTTCGATAGCTCAGTTGGTAGAGCGGAGGACTGTAGCGGTATTACACTGATATCCTTAGGTCGCTGGTTCGAATCCGGCTCGAAGGAGGAATTGTTTTTACTTTATAGCCATTTGATTTAATCATTTGTACTACTATTTGTAATACTTGATTTAAAAATAGTTCGTTGTGAAGTAAATCAAACTAAACTTTGTTTTGGTTGTATAATATAAGCCTGAAATGAAATAACTGAAATGGTGTTAACCTCACTGAAAGTAAAATTAAATTAACTGTAAATAAAATGTGTAATAATAATGATAATTTACTAATAAATGTTTAATTCAAAAGATTAATAATAATAAATTGTCTAATAATGACCTTAAGTTGTAAAACTGTAATGCATAACATACATAACAATATGTTTTTCTCTGTGATATATTTTGTGATATAATTTCACCAAATGACTTAATAGCTCTGCAAAGTCGTTACTTAGGATTATTTTGTAGGGTAGATAAATATAGATATATTTTTATGTAATTTATTATCTACACAAACTATAAGTCATAAATAAACACAATTGAGGACAGATTAAAGTAAAATAAATCATGCTTTATGGATTTCCGGAGAGAATCTGACAGTATTCAGGTACAGAAATTAAATAATCAAATGTTAAATAGCACTGTAAAGTCTTCACCATATAAATAATTTAATAATCTTTATTAAACTTCTTTATGCACTACTAAAATGCAGTCACAGGCCCTAAAAACACATGCAGATGATGAACTTTCGCTCCATTACGGTTCAATTCTGCAGTGTCTCCACAAATCTCATGTGTTTTGATCTATAATCATCATCTATCATCCAAACTCAGCATTGCATATCTTACCATGTGACTATTGTGGATACACACATTTTGATATCGATTCTGAAACAACATGTTGTGCAGCCCTAATAATAACAATATTATTACATTCTTAATAGTATTATCTTACTAACTTAGTAAGATTTTATTAATAATATCTTATTTGAAATAAACATTCAGCAAATTGTGAATTCAGGAAATGTATTGTACTTAAATTAGCTCATGGGCATTTTGTTTTGGAATGTAAATGTGAAATAGACTATTTAAAAACATTGAAAGATGAATAATGAAAGATACATAAGAAATACTTTTACCTTCAAATGTGAAAATGCTGTATGGCAAAAAAAATAAATCATATTAAAAGATAAATAAAATATACTACATGTTTTTGTTGGTACAAATTAAACGAGATCATATTTATGATTAAAATGTAAACTGTATAGTTATATTGTGTGTACATAATACATGCTCTTTGCATGTACAGCAGTACTAATTTAGTTTTATTTATACTATTACATTATTTATTTGAATTAAAATAGTTTAAATGTTTTATTTTAATATTTTGAGTTGTCATTTTAGATTATGTTTTGGTATTTTTGATATTTGTTTTTATATTTTATTTTTGTTTTCACTTATATTAACTTTTAGTTCTAGTCATTTTAATACTAAAACTGGTTTTTATCAGTTATGTATTTGACATAAAGCAGATATTTTAAATTTCATATATATTTTTAATAGTTCTAATATGTACATTTTATAAATAAACTATTTTTTGTATAGTTTCAAATATTCACATGATCCTCTCCAAATTAGTTTATAAATAAACCCCACTCATCTATAGATTCCACAGCAAACACTGCTATTTGTTCACCATTTCTGCTTTGGCTTTGTTTGTTTTTTTAAACATTAATTGACTTTTTTCCTCTCCAGGACCCCTCTTATGATGGCCTGTACCCGACGAAACCTCGAGGTCATCCAGGAGCTGCTGGATTACGGTGCCGATCCAACGCTGCAGAACAAAGATGGATGGAGCTCATTCCACATCGCCTGCAGAGAAGGAGATCCAGCCATCATAAACCACCTCCTCCTGGCCAAACCTGACATCTGGAAGACAAAGAGCAAGACTGGCAGGACGCCCCTCCACACTGCTGGTATGATAGCACAGGATTGATTGTGTTTTCATGATATCCATTTGTATTTATTTGACTTCACTCAATGCCTTTTTCTACTGTTAAAGCTATGCATGGCTGTGAGGATGCAGTGAAGATCCTGCTTCAAAGGTAGCGTGTTGAATATAAGTGTGTGTTTGCGATTGCTTTATTGTCTTTCTCACGTACTTTGTGTCTTAATTCAGGTGTTGTTACGAGCCTGATGAAAAGGACAGTTGTGGAGTCACACCATTTATGGATGCCATAAGAAATGGGCACATAGCTGTTGCTAAACTGCTTCTCGAGGATCACCAGGTAAGCGAACATTTCATTTATATGCCTAGTCCCTTATTTATCAGGAGTCGCCACAGCGGAATGAACTGCCAGTTATTCTGGCATATGTTTTACGCAGCGGATGCCCTTCCAGCCGCAACCCAGTACCCAACCCATACACAATAAACTAGATTATGTCTTTGGTGAACTATTTTACTAGTGAGCTCTTTTACTAGTGAGCTATTTTACTAGTGAACTTGTTTGTGTTCTTTGTTAATCTGATGTAGGCATCTCCCTCAGCAGTAGATATTCTCGGCGCACAGCCCTTACACCAGGCCTCTGTCACTGCTCAAGAAGAAGCGCTTTCCTTTCTCGTTCATCATCTTGGCATGGATATAAACTCAAGAGCCACAAAACTGGAGCTGACTGCATTGCACTACGCTGCTAAGGTTGTGTCAGTTGCATTAAACATGAAGCACAGTTCAGACTTCCTCCTCTAATCTCGCTCCAATCTCGATGCTCATTTTTTTCAGGAAGGTCACACGAGCACCATAAAAACACTGCTCGCCCTGGGCGCCGATCTACACGCAAGAGATGCAAAAGGCAGATCAGGTGGGGTTACACTTTTTGGTAACACTTTGCATTAAGGTTGCATTTACTAACACGAACAAGACATTTATTACAATATTTGTTCATGTTTGCTAACGTCGGTTACTGAAAATGAAGTTGTTCATGTTACCTCACACTCCATTAACCCAGTGTTTATCAACCATGTTCCTGGAGGAGCACCAGCTTTGCACATTTTCCATGGCTCCTTAACCAAACACACCAGAATCAGATCATTAGCTCATTAGCAAAGACTGAAAGAGCTCATTTCATTTCACTGCATGCCTCTTTTTCAAATTGCCTTAATTAGAAAGCCAATTGCCATGATTTTATGGTCTGCAGCTCTACATATGGCCTGCATTGGTCAGCACGTGGATACCGTTCGGATGCTACTGCAGATGGGACTCACGGATACTGAAGACAACACAGGGAACACAGCAAGACAGTATGCCATAAAGCCTCATATTAAAGACGTGTTTGAAAATCTTGCAACCTAAACGCTGTGACAAGTGGATCAATCGTTACTTTAAAATAATAATAATAAGTAAAAACACAAACTGCAAAATAAAGATCATGTGGGGAAAATCTCATGAATTTTCGTTACAAGAAAGCCTGTGAATTTGGTAAAATGTTTTTAATTGCTTGTATCGCCCCCCTGGTGGTTGGATATAGTATAAGCCAGGGGTGTCAAACTCAGCTCCTGGAGGGCCGCAGCTCTGCACAGTTTAGTTTCAACTCTAATTAAACACACCCGATCAAACTATACCAGTCTTGTTTAAAACCTACAGGTAAGTGTGTTGGAGCAGGGTTGGAACTATACTGTGTAGGGCTGCGGCGTTTGACACCCCTGTTATTGGCCATAAACTCTGCCCTGATTCATGTAAACAAAAAAACAACTGTTACACCTTCGATATAATTCATCCCTAATTTTATTAAATGAGTCAATCTGAATTGCGATTAAGCCTGTGAAACTTTTATACTGTGGTCCAGCTCATGATCACGTATGCAAACTAATGACGAATTATGTCATTAGCCCAAAATGACAGTAGCCATACTTGGGACATTATTTACAACAGTATTTATTTTCGTTTATATATATATATATATATATATATATATATATATATGTGTGTGTGTGTGTGTGTGTGTGTGTGTGTGTGTGTGTGTGTGTGTGTGTGTGTGTGTGTATATATATATATATATATATATATATATATATATATATATATATATATATATATACATACATATATGTTTCTAACTATGCAGCTATATTTCATGGCCTTTTATATGTGACTCCTTGGTTATGTTCTTCTGTTCCTCTTGGTCAGTTTTAACATAAGGAACACAATACGTAAAAAAGGAACCAAGAAGGTACCACATATCACCATTCTACAGCGGAAAGAATGGTACATATAAGGGATGATGTTTTGAATAAATCATATGTGATTTGTGCCCAGTTTACAACCCCTTTGCCGAATAAACAAACAGAAAGAACTGAGCCGTATGCTGAATATTATAAATGAACAGATATCCCTGTGATGTCTCTATGTTTGTCTGGATAAAAATACTTTGATCAATGAATGATTTAATTACTTCCCTTATTAAAATTTACTATGGTTGAACTTGGAAAAACACCAACATCAACAAGGTTTTTGTAGTTAAACCATGGTAGCCACAAATTAACCATGGTTGTGCATAGTTTAACCACAATATTTTTATTAAATCTGTGATTATAAAGATCAAAACACACACACACATAGTTAGTATACTTTGGTTATAGTAAAACCATAGTTATTTTTGTTATGGTCATAAATGCGCAAAGAACAATGCAAAACTATGCGTATAAAAAGAGCATTTCAAGTTATTTTAGTGATCTTCCAAGAGCAAAATAGATATATATATATTACATACATAATTAATGAAATTACCATGTTATAAATTATTAATAACAAATATCAATTGTATATTGTCTAATGATAAATTTACAATAAAGTAAAGGAAAATAAATCATCTTGAGGTGGAAACAATCTTACCCTTGTTACTGACAGACCTTTTATTTAGCTTCAAGTATGTGTGTGTATGTTTTTATGAAGGTTTTTAAGAGATTCGAGTCTGATGAACCAAAATCTCCATGCAGGTGATCAGGGGCGGAACACTCGCCCTTGGTGATTGACAGAAATATCCACCAATCGCACTTTAAACGCGCAAACTCACAAGCCCTGCCTTTTCCAGCCACACCCACAGTGGGTGACGTGACAGCGCACTTCTTTCATTTCCAGCTTTGCAAGATCTCCATTTTCTTCGGGCCGACGCATAGGAAAAGGGGATTAAAGACGAGGAAAGATGAATGAAGAATACGACGTTATCGTGTTGGGGACCGGGCTAACGGTATCAGATCATTATCTAATCCAAACACCCACGCGTACTTTGCCGAAAAATCATAATCAAAAGCGGTTTCGATATTGCTAGGCAGTGCTGTGAGTCTACCGCTCACTTCAGGAGGCTAATTACCAACATGCTAATTTTAGCATCATGCTAATCAGCAGCCAGTCTGACTCTATAGCATATGCTAATTAGCAACGTTGCTAGCGTTAGGCATTCGTTCGAACTGTACAGTCTATGCTAATCCAGTGCTATGCTAACTTTAGCTTCAGTTACAGTCGTCTACTGGCGCTCAGAGCCGCTGCCATACAGGCCCTTGGTTACAGATTTGACGATTTTTCATGCTTACACAAAATTATTACAAATCACAGTTATCATCAGGCTGGTAAACACCAGATATATGTTGCGTTTCATTCTTTTACTGTAAAGTTGTAGCTTACATACAACGTCTTTCGCATTTTGACAGTGCTAACGTTAGTTAGCGCCAGACAGCTTGTTCTCATGTGTCAAGCTGATAAACGATTTCTATTCACGAATGCAAAGACATTTCATTCTTTTTAAACCTCGTATGAAGTCATTAGTATGCAGTTTTTCTATTATAAATATATCTGTAATGCTAACAGTGGACTCTGTGCTGATGTGTTATTTTTACAAGTGCTTGACTTCAGTTATTTTAAGGGCGGGGAGTTATTTTATGTGTTTTCTTTCAAATGAAATGACAAAATGAATGCATTTTAAGATCACCTCTTGCGTCAGAATAGGTCAGTAAACAACCACACCCATCAAGTCAAACAAAATCCTCATTGCATATTCTATTAGGATGCTTTAAAAGCCTGTTCACCAGCCAGGAAGTTGCTGTACACTTCTAATTAAGATAGCATGATGCATGCATGTGGCTGCCCATATTATGTGAGCCCTCGCCTGCGAAATTAGATTATTCACAGTATGCATCATTGCAAATATTTATTATCTAGTGGTTTTGCATCTGGGAAAACCCAAATAGGAAAATCACTCGGGGCTGCTACTGAACTTCTCAGTTTTCTTCATGGTCATTTGTTTGTTGGGACTGTACCTGAATGCTTCCTTATGACTTAATCAAGATCAGCTGTGTTTGTTACTCTTTATTTTAAATCATCCTTGAAATGCACACACTTCCATAAAACATGCATTGATTTTTAGGTTCTAACTCTCCAAACCTTTATTTTGATTATACTTTACACGTTGCATGTGCATAAACCTATACAAAGTGGTTCCCCTAAAACAGGAAGTGCGGGAAGTGAACAGAGTAGGTTTTTGTGCAGAGGAGCATTAGGCTATCAGTAGAGCCCCAGGAAGGCGTTGGTCTGTTTTGTAGAGGAACCGAGACTGACTTCTCATGTATAGTTCTGCAAAATTGAAAAGAATGGTAAGCTGAGGGTGGCATGCGAGCGATGAATAACCAACATTGCCTCCATCTCCGCTGTTTTATGAGGTATTCCTCTCAGCTCCTGAGGCTACGGTTCCTCTGAGCGTAGTGCAGCTCTGGTATTACATGGCTTATTGCATAATCTCTTTATCCTGAGAGGGTTGCTGTAGTGGCTGAAAGTTGGGAGTGTTGATGCTTACAATCCTCTGAGTTTTAAAAGAACAAATGTCACAAGATTCTTGTCCAGTTTATCACATGCTGTATTAGGAATTCTTACTCTGCCTTACTATTGTGGTTGTAGCTTTGTAGTAAACAACTTATTACTGGGGCCCTGTTAAATAATAATAGGTTCTTTTCTTTTTTTTTTTTTTTAAGATTTGTTTTTAGTCTTTTTGCCTTTATTGAGTGAATAGGATGGTATTTTAGATAGGAAACGAAATGGGAGAAAGAGAGAGAGAGAGGGGGTAGGGATGGTAAATGTCCTCGAGCCCGGACTCGAACTCGGGATGCCCTGAAGTGCCACTGCACCATATGTTAGCACGCTAACCACTAGGCTATTGCGCCGACAATAGATTATTTTCTAAAAACTCAATTCCAATTAAAATAAGTTTTAGTAATCAAAAGAGACTTGTTTGAGTTTGACAATTATCTTTCAAGTAACGTGTAAGATAAGTTTACATTTTAAATATTTATTTATTCATGTTAATGGGATGGTTTAACCAAAGATAAAAATTCTGCCATTATTTACTCATTCTTGTCATCCCGCCATTGTCTTTATACCTTGTTCTGTTGAATACAGTAGAATATAATTTAAATAATATTTATACTACTCAATAGGGCTGGGTGATTAATTAAAAAGTACTCGATCGACATTCAGAACAAATAATCAATCCAATTTTTTGTTACTTTCCCTACTGCGTGTGGATTCACGTGACCCTGTCCTGTTAAGGCTGATTTATACTTCTGCGTCGAACACACATGTATGGTCCGGTGCAGCATTCAGCATCTGTGCACCTCTCAAAAAATGTAACTACACTTACTACATTGATGATGATTCCAAGCTGCACCGGAGATGGCTCGCGAGTCACGATGGCATATTTTTTATTACAATAAAATTATTTTTTACGTTAAAGTATTTACAGAAGATTTAAGAAATGCACTGTTTCTAATATTATTTAAAGGATATACAAGAGTTAACTGTTGGATAAAAGTTAAAAGTGACTTGGTTTTAGGCAATGTGTGTTTTAATTTCAGATGTTCAATGTTTATATTCTATAAATAATCATAGATAGTGTATGTTTCCTTCAGTTATTTTAAAATCAAGTAATGCACCCTTCATTCAAAAATCTGTCACTTGTAATATGAGGGCGTATTTACTGTACAAAACTTATCAGTGAACTGTGAGGGCCAAAATTTTAAATAAATAAATAAAATAATCATAATTTATCGTAAACGAGTCAATTTACCCCCCTCTGAAATCTCATTCACCCCATGTATTCCTGAGTAAGTCCCATACAGGTGAGTGGGTTTAATAAACCACCTGTAGAAACGCTCTTCTCTCTTTTGCCCTTGACACTACATCTAAACTCCATTTTACAAGGACTCGATAAGGAAAACACTGTTGTACCACAATCATGTAGCGCTGCTTTGTTCAACCTTAAATGATTCTTTCGCACAATATCCACCCTTAAAACCTCAATATCCTGCACAACATTGTTCAGCCTCATGTAAAAGTACTTGTATAGCCTGTCTTATTTGTATAGTTTAGTAAATTATAGTATATGCATAGAT